TGAACAGCAAAAGGTGTAATTCTCATAAACTTTTCTTTTTGATGATGCATGGATATTGTTAGGAGAAAATTAATGTTAGTGACTATTGCTACTTATGGCAAAATTTGTTGTATCCCGCTGTGCATTTTCTTTTTTGGGGGTTTTTGTGTTCCCTCAATCATCTTAGCGGACCTCTTAGGAAATACATATTTACTTGCAGATTGGTGGATCTCCATCTGTTTTGTTTGTTTCCTGCTACAAGGCTTGTTGCTTTCTGACAGGACGTCCTGTTTTGGGCAATAATCGACTAGTTAAGTTTGCTTCGCAGATTTTTATAGTCTTTCTCATTCTTGTCACTTGCAAGAATAAAGCAATGTTTGCCTCCTTCCTTTGACAAAAAATCCATTCACCATTGCGATTTCCTTCGCTATTCTTGAGCAGTCAGAGTCATTCTCAGCCAAGCTGGGCGAACATGTTACATTGTGATTTGCATTAACCTCGCCTTCGCTAAAATGATTGATGGAACAGAAAAACCCAAAATCCGTTTTAAGTTTGCAAAACGCGCAGCGCAATACAACAAATTACCCTGTAAAGGTTAATAGTCTATGTCCAAGGCTGTGGTCTAACGGCGCCCGGTCGCCTGAAGTGACTAACATTTAGCTTCGGGCGACTGAAAAAAAGTTCCCGGTCGTCCGGCCGGGCACTCTTGCTTCTGGTGCAGTGTTCAGTCAAGCGGGCAGAAAAATTTAACATCCTAGTGTTGGCTTATTGAGTCAGAGTTTTCTAAACCGTACAGAAAATGTTTTTACGAATGTTGTACAAAAAAAAAAGGGGACACGTCGATGTTTAAAGGTCGTTCTGCATGATTTCACATGTAACATAACCATCACTTTGAACGTGACAAGCGGCACGGATTTCGATTTCTACCGCTTCTTAAAACAGTTTTAAAATTTTTTCTTTCAGATAGAATGGTTCATTATGTACAGTTTTTAGGAGAAACTGTCAATACTTTTCTGACAGACGTAGAGCGCGGCTGGCAATGCGGAATAATTTATTTTTATATAAAACGGATGTTGCTGTATTGACCAGTATGCAAATATAATGTTTTTACGGTTTTTGGCTGCTTTGTCTGCTCGGCTAAAACATAACTTATGATTGTTTTCTTACCTTTACATACGATAACGAAATATAAAAAGAAAAGATATGATCGCTCTGATCGTTTTTATTGTTGTTTTAGAACCAGGGCAGTTCCACGTTGTCTTGGCATTTTTCGCATCGAAAACTAAATTCGAATGCATGCATATATAGGCTAAATTTAGCGGCCAAAAAAAAAAATAAAAACACGGAAAGAAGAGCTGGTTTACGCTTCGACCGTATCCACGAAAAGCTCAATTATCCTAAAAGATTCACTGATAATATAGAAAAGAAAATTAAAGATGGCTTATTTTTTATTAAAACAATAGATTTGGGGCCAAGGTGGTCACACGGAATTTTTCACGGGAACTTGAGTTCGATCTGGCGCGTATATTTCATGCCGCATTGATTCACCCTTTGAAAATTTATTTTCAAGTTTAGTATTACTGGTAAAAAGCACAGTTTTCCTATGTTTTACCCAAAGATCTTAATGAAGTTTACGTAAACCTGCTGAAATTTTTTACTTTTCCCTCTTTAAAACCTAAACAATTCGACGGCATTGCTCACGTTTCTGGTTTTAAATCTAAATGGCATGAAAACTTTGATGGGTTTCATAAGACAACATGCGGGTTTTTGTGGAACCCAAAAGCTAAAATTACCGAGTTTGGTGATCAGCAGGCCAGTAAGATTCATGTGCGTACAAAACTTCCTCATTACTCGGGCACCCCAGCTGGAATGCTTGGGAGCCCGAAGGGCTCCCCGAAATTTTTATTCGGGCGACCAACTTTGAGGTCTGGGCACCTTAACTAAAATGCTTGTGAGCCCGAAGGGCTCCTTGAAATTTTCCTTAGAGCACAGCCTTGATGTCTATGTCTAAATGTTCTTGAATAACCGCCATGAAGATTTTCAAAAACTGAAATGTTTTTGCAAGCCTTTCAAAAGTTTTCACAAAACGTACAGCAAAAAATAGGGAGACGTAGATAACGCTGAATAAACGATAAAATAAACCTCTGAGTGTACCATTCATGTTTGTAGCAAGATAGAAACCACTACAAACTTGCAGAATTAAAAATAAAATACTTTTTGTCCTGTGTAAATGAAATTTCTTGCTTTTCTATGCATCACCACTTTGTATCATTTTACTACATGCAATAGTGGCCTAACATTTCTATTGGTGGGGAAAAGGTCTTGATTTTATTATTGACGGTTTTTCTAAGACTATTAAATTCATTTGAAGCCATTTTCAGACAAAAAACTTCAACTACACTGCAGCAAGACACGTGCTTGTTTGTTTACCTTTTATTGGCAGAAAAATTTTTTCCTATGGCTGACAACCAAACGTTTTCTTTTTTTGTTTCAAAAGTGAAGAATGAGTAGGGAATTTTGTTGTTCATTTAACGGAAGGTAGCCTGAGAATCATGATTTTTATGCATCCGTTCGGGCTTCTTGTTTCAAATTTTGGTCGCCCATAAGTAAATAATTATTATAGGAGCCTGTGGCGACCAGGCCCCCATTAGGCAGTAGCCTTGACACTGCTTAGTGTAAAGCATGTAAATACATACCTTGACAAGTATAAAAACAGTTTTGATTGTTCAAAAGTTAGACTTCATACAAAAATACTGAGTCAATTTTCCAAACTTTAAGATAAAAAACCTTTCGGTGGCCCCATTTTATGAACTTTGCATATGCACTTGTACATGCGAGTGCTCTTGGCTGTACCGTTTGTTGTTTTTGTGAATGGTTGATTTTCTTTTTCTTGAGAAATAAATCGTGTCTCAAAATCCGTTCAAGTAATAAATATAAAAGATGCTTGTTTCTCGAAACTCAAGACTCAATGTTTGCATTTTGAAACTCAATCTGTTGGAGTTTGAAGTATTCTTCTGTTTTCATCTCATCATGCAATGCTCATTAGCGTTGTGTAATGAGACAAAATTGTCTGCGTTTCAAGGAGAGAGAATGAAGTTTCGAGGAAGAGGTCAGGATTGTCAACTTTAGATACAGACACTATCAATATGGTCATTCTGATGAACTAATTAAAACTAGGTTTAGGTACTCTGGCTGTAGGGGTCTGTTCTTGAAATGCAATAAAGCAAATAATATCTCTAGTACAGGAAAAAAGAGATTGGCCCTTGAATGTTAGTTGATCCTTTACTACCGTATGCTACTATTTGTGCCCTTCAGTTTGATAAATAATAACTTTGAAGATTATCAATTAACAGATTAGTGCACCGTGAGCTAGAAGTGTGACATATTAATAAAGTTACTGTTTTTTTTAATGGGCCACTAGAAATGTAGCTTTTTATTTTAGGAGCCCAAAGGGCTCCCAAAAATTCTCTTAGGCAGCAGCCTTTCCTAAGGTAAATGCAAATGTTCCCTCGCACTTCCTAACTATTGGTTACTGCTACAACCCCGGACAAAACTGTTGAGACAATTCCATCTATTTTCTAACTTTTGCGCCCTACTCCCGTCTCCCCTAAACACAAAAAGTAAACCCCCTCTCCACCCCCTATTCAAAGTTGCCTTGGTCTAAAAACCAACGTGTATAATTGCCATGCTATCCTAAACAACTTTGGATAAGGGAAGGGGGGAAATCGGGCATTCATTTGGCGGCGGTTTCAGTTTTTGCCGGGATGACAGGAAAAAATAGGCATTTTCGCGATTTGTCTCAACAGGTTTTGTCCGGGGTTGTCTGCGGACTGTTTTCGGTATTCTTTAACTTTCATAGCAATTACCTCAAGTTATAGTCCTCTCTTTTGGTCAAATTGATAAAAGCCATTGTTTCAGCATACTTTTTTTTTCTTTTGAATGCGAAATAAAATTTTTACAGTAAAAATTGAAGTTATAACACTCTGATTACATGACCTGCCAAATGACATTTACTCTGTGACGTTACCATGGGCATGACTTTCAACGGCTTACGTGTCCGTAGACGCTTTGCCTGCTCAAATGATGACATTGATATGTAATCGCCAGACAAAATGGATCTCTCGAGAACTTCCGATAGTGACGAATCATTTTCAGGAGGCTCGGAAATATCGCATGAATCACTAGGTGAGAGGAAGGTTAGTGCGCTTATCTGGTCACTTACAGTCACGCGAATTTGGCTCATTTTTCCATCCCGCGAGTAATTTGCCTTAGCAGTGATTACGTCGTTCGCCAAGTGTAGTGCAAAGATCCTACACTTAATAGGAGAACATTGCGTCAGTTACAGCAAATGTGGAATTGTGTACGAACGGGAATGTGGTATGATGGATCTCTCATTTCTCCACGCAGATCCCGCGGGAACAATAACGGGAAATCCCTTGATGTGTAAGGTGCTTCGATGAGCTTGCTATGCAACAAAAACGGAGTAGTTTTTCTCGCAGACGGTTAACTTAACGAATAAAGTACCGCAGAGGAAAGAAACATCGGTTAACGACGGTTAACAACGGTTAACAACTTTTCTGAAGAAAAACAACAGTTAGACTATCAGTTTCCTTTAATATATTCTGTTAACCGCTGTTAACCGTTGTTAACCGTTGGAATAAACATGTGCGTGCCTGTTAATCGTTTATTTCAAGCGTTTACGGTGCTTTCAAGCATTTTCCGTAGTATATAGAACCTTTTTGTTGATTTTCAAGCATTAAAAAGACCTTTTTACTCAAGGGAAAACTTTTTGACACTGGTGTAATTGTCATGAAATGCGCTGTTTTTTGCCACAAAAGAACTGCCATCGCGTGACAACATGTTTTCGCTGTATTTGTGATCAAAGAGGCATTGCTTTCCCTACACATCCTATTTCTACCCATTTTGGAAGTTCTTCATTAATATTTGTTCTTTTGGCCTTGGTTGTCATAGAAGAATTAACGGTTTTATCGGCATGGATTCCATTATTTTGTCAAGTAGATAATCTGGTATATATGTTGTAAATTGTTCTAATTACACACTCAGTAAACGCGGGTATTGTTAACTCGGTGAAGCTTACTTTTCCAGTTCTACTCTAACTACATGGAGAAAGTTGTCACTGCAACTAAGTATCACTACCTCTAAGGGTTATTTTTAACTGCTCCGCCGCATTCTTGAGTCCTCGTGCATGACCTGCACACCACGCACTATTATTTTTGAACAGGACAGTTGTGCTGCGCAAATATAATAAATACCCAGTCTTATCTAATTTATTCGACATGTAAGCACAATTAACGTTGGTAAAAAGGCCGGAGGTAAGGCTCCTATTAAGATATCATACTTATGACACACAGTAACTCCTTAACCGTGGCCACCAACCACAATTAATTTCAATACTTTTTCTGTAAAGAGCATGATTTCTGTCTCATTTAGGTATAAGGTCTCTAATTTATGGCTAAATTTCTAAGTGCATAATTAATGCGTCCTAATTCTTTTTATGACACCTTCTTTCGTAGTCACAAAGCTTTAGACAAGTACAACATCTGTGCAAAAAATCAATACCCTCCGACCTTACATCGCGAAGTTACAGCGATTTGAACAACTGGCCTTCACAGACAACCCCGGACAAAACTGTTGAGACAATTCCATCTATTTTCTAACTTTTGCGCCCTACTCCCGTCTCCCCTAAACACAAAAAGTAAACCCCCTCCCCACCCCCTATTCAAAGTTGCCTTGGTCTAAAAACCAACGTGTATAATTGCCATGCTATCCTAAACAACTTTGGATAAGGGAAGGGGGGAAATCGGGCATTCATTTGGCGGCGGTTTCAGTTTTTGCCGGGATGACAGGAAAAAATAGGCATTTTCGCGATTTGTCTCAACAGGTTTTGTCCGGGGTTGTAGTTATTGCAGTTCTTAATTTAATTCTGGTTTGAGATAAATGTGTTTCAAACTGGCAAAACCAGTGGTTTCATAGCTGATCGTGTCCCTTAAACTAATTTATATAATGACCAAAATCAGTTTTAAAAAAAAATTGATATTATTTACTCTTTTTAAGTGTGACTTGAAATCACATTCATTATTTTAGCTAAAATATGAACCCCTCTTTCTTGGAAAAATGGCCACCTACAGAACAACACCAAGGGTGGCCACTGGACTCTTACAAAGAGTAAGAGAATAAGCCAATTCCTAGAATAAATCCTAGTACTCTCCAGGGAGGATTTGTAGTAATACAGGTTTCACTATATTGTCTGTATGAATGCTGTATGATGAACCTTAATTACCATTATTTTAAAAGTGTGTTATTTTACCAACCACAAGCATTTCTCAGATCCAAATACAAAGTCAACAAATAATCAACTGCCCCATGTTGTCAGTTGATGGATTCTCTAGTTTGAAGGGTTTATGTAGAATTTTAGGTATGTAATCAGCTGGTTTATTGTGTGGAACCACTTTTGCATGAGCCGGTGTCTTAAAACTTTTCTAATTTTCCATGTGTCCCTGGCAACACCACCTTTAAACTACTCACTTCAGGCCTCTCACCGCCAGGCTGGAGAAGTTATGCTGGCAGCAACAAAACAAATAGTGTGTATTTACCTAATTATGGTTCTTCATCTTTCCAAAGGTATCCTAACTGTAAAACCTTTAAATCAGAGCAACCTCAATGTCCTTTGAGTGTCAGCAGTGTGGCAAGTGTTTTAACAATGCAGGACACTTGATGGCTCATAAAAGATTCCACACTGGGGAAAAGCCATATGAATGTAAACAGTGTGGCAAGTGTTTTAGACAAGCAGGAGACCTAAGGAGGCATGAAAGAGTTCACACTGGGGAAAAGCCTTATGGATGTAAACAGTGTGGTAAGTGTTTTAGTGAAGCAGGAAACCTAAGGACTCATAAAAGAGTTCACACTGGGGAAAAGCCTTATGAATGTAAACAGTGTGGCAAGTGTTTTAGTGAAGCAGGAAACCTAAGGACTCATGAAAGAGTTCACACTGGGGAAAAGCCTTATGAATGTAAACAGTGTGGCAAGTGTTTTAGCAAAGCAGGAAGCTTAAAGACTCATGAAAGAATTCACACTGGGGAAAAGCCTTATGAATGTAAACAGTGTGGCAAGTGTTTTAGCGAAGCAGGAAACCTAAGGAGACATGAAAGAGTTCACACTGGGGAAAAGCCTTATGAATGTAAACAGTGTGGCAAGTGTTTTAGTGTAGCAGGAAGCCTAAGGAGACATGAAATAGTTCACACTGGGGAAAAGCGTTTTGAATGTAAACAGTGTGGCAAGTGTTTTAGCGAAGCAGGAAGCCTAAGGATGCATGTAAGAGTTCACACCGGGGAAAAGCCTTTTGAATGTAAACAGTGTGGCAAGTGTTTTAGTAAAGCAGAACACCTAAGGACTCATGAAAGAGTTCACACTAGGGAAAAGCCTTTTGAATGTAAACAGTGTGGCAAGTGTTTTAGTGTTGCGGTAAGCCTAAGGACTCATGAAAGAGTTCACACTGGGGAAAAGCCTTATGAATGTAAACACTGTGGGAAGTGTTTTAGTGAAGCAGGAGGCCTAAGAAGACATGAAAGAGTTCACACCGGGGAAAAACCTTACGAATGTAAACAGTGTGGCAAGTGTTTTAGCGAAGCAGGAAGCCTAAGGAGTCACGAAAGAGTTCACACTGGGGAAAAGCCTTTTGAATGTAAACAGTGTGGCAAGTGTTTCAACCAATCAGGAAACCTGAGGAGTCATGAAAGATTGCACACTCAGGAAAGGTCACCTAAATTTTCCCAGAAAAACAAATGCCTGTCCAAACGATTGGAATCCTGTAAACGAAAGAGAGCAGGAAGTGAAAACGTTGATGTCAGGGGCACAGGCTTTACAGAGAACCAGCAGACACAGAGAGAAACCGGAAACACTGGTGTAACAGGTGCACGATCGGTCATTATTGAGAAACACAGCTGTTGGATTTGTCAAGAGGAGATGAGTAGTGAGGCTCTTCTTCTTCAACATTATGAAAATCATATGACCCATGTTTCTGACGATTATTCATTAAGTTAAAAAAACGTTTTTTGGTGCTTTGACAACCTTTTTAAGTTCTCAACTCTAAAAGATTTCTAAAGCATGTTGCTTTCATACTTGCGGTTTATTCGATGTATATGATTATCAAGTTGTAATAAACGATGAAAGAACAACTTCTGTATTGATTCTTTCATAAAGGAAAAACTCGATTCAAATCAAAGTCTTATTGCCTCTTAGTTTAGTCTGCTACACAGCCGTTTTTAGTGTCGTCACACAACGCTCCTTCCCACAAACGGTTTGTGGGGAGGAGCGTTTTGTGACGACACTAAAAACGACTGTTTGGCAGAATATTCTTATTTTTTTACATTTGTACGCGACCACTTATAGACGACTATAACTTCTCATGATATTAATGGTAATGTAAAAAATGCTTTCGTACTTTCATGCGTATTCTACAGTCTTGTATTTATGATGTTCTCATAGCTATGGTTTCTGGAACTCTCCAGTTATTATAATAGCTGTTATCCCTAATAAAGAATCCCGATCACTTATTAATGCCTTTGGAGAATATTTATTGGTGTTAAAAGGCCCTGTGTATTAAGTCGGAAAGTATAAAGTGACCCATTAGTGTAAGTTGGTTGATACTACTATAACTTTATGGTCAACTTAATAATTCCAAGAAAATAAAACCAAGTAATTGGTGGTTCAAATTCGATTTTTAATGCCTTTGATCTCTTGGCGAGTTTTGTTAGTCCTTGTCTGGTAACCACTCTGGCTGAGATCAAACCCACTTCACACCAATTTATCTGTTACACAGAACGAAAATTAAACTTTTTAAGCTAAATTGGAACTGTTTTTTGATTATTTAGGTTATTTAGATTTTTTGTTACACCATACAGCGCATGCCGTGTAAGGGATGCAGTCGTATTTCTATCGTTTAAGCGTTTTCTTGTGGACAGGCGAAGACGATTGAAATACGTTACTGTTTTGGGTTGCGTTCCTTTTGACCAATCTAAATCCGGGTTTTGCGATGCGAAATTTGATTTTTCATTGCGTCAAGGACGAAACCAATCTAAGATTGCAATCTGAACGATCCACCTCCGTAATTGGATCGTTCAGATTGGTATCTGAATCTGGTTTCAGATTTTTGTTCCATTTAACGAAACTGCTTTTCGATCGCAAGAACTTGCTCGCTCATCAATAATGACGTTAGTTCAAGCAAAAGTTATTTACACAGTCCTCCTTTGTTCTATGCCGCTAAAGGATTGTGGTATATTAAACTTAAGTTCCACTGTAACTTTAAATCCGTAAGGAAGCGAAAACGCTTGGATTTTCCTACCGTTTTAAAGTTGTCCAATGTGTGTGTGTTTAGAGCCCAGTGGGGGGCGAGGGGTGGGGGCTACTCCGGAGTTTAAGTGACAGGGATGATCCAATGGGGAAAAAATCAAAACCCCCTAAAATCTGTAGGGCTTCAATCAAAACCCACAGAACTCGCTGGACCAAAATTTAACCAGCAAAAATCTCGTGCCGAGCCATAAAAATTTCCAGGAAGCGTTAAATGAAACAACTATTATGAATCTTCAGATTGTTTTGAATGCCCAAAATAATCCCTACTGAAATCAAGCTGCCCAAAAAATACTTGCTAAACTTTTCCTACCCAAACAAATCCCAAAATCGAACATTTGAAACCGAAAAAAATCCTTTGATCATCCCTGTCACTCGAAATCCTGAAGTGTTTGCCGCTGGGGTTTAGAGTGCGCCTCTCAGCACTTGAGAATTTGTCATTGTCTTCTGAATGTTCTTAAATCAAATTCCAGGTAATTTTCAGTTGAGAAGTGGCAACAGCATGAACAACCAGTTAAAGAGCAACGTTTCTTTCCATTTCTCCACCGTAAAGAGAAGATGCTGAATTTAGGGGAAAGTGTTGGAATTGAGAAGAAGATTAGACCAGGAGGCAGCTGCTGTATGGATCAATCCAGTTATTTCAAGTGTTTGTTCCGGCTAGCACGAAAATTCAAACAATCTGGATTTTTTTGGACGCGTACTGTTCGGATATTAGGGTGTGATAGCCAAGATTAGACAATTTTGTAATCGTTTTGAAATTTTGATATTAACACAATTAATTTTGAAAATGAGGCATATTTAACGAAAAAAAAAGTTTTGGTTGTTTATCACCGCCTCTCGCCGTGTTTTTCTTTTTTCATCATCAATCTAGTATGATGACCTAAGAAGATTATAGCGAAACAAGTTTTACCAGTTATCTCTGATTCTCCGCATTTTGTAAAATAAAATTAAACGAATATTTAACCAATAGTTTCTGTTAAGTCTAAACACAAATATACTAAGAGACTTTTAAGTCAATTCACAATTTAGCCGCGGAAAAAAAATTAAAATGTACAGATTGGACATAGGATATTAAATATGTGAATCTGATCATATCCGCTGGAAAAATGGCTAATTCAAGAAAATCAGTGAGCTGAAGAAGATACAAACATCCATCAAGATAAAAAACAATAGAAATACCAGCTAAAATTTTTGAAAAATAAATTCGTCATCTGAACGCCAAGAGTCTATCAAGTCAAGCTCCTTAAAAAAACTGTTCAGATTTATTTTCTCTTACATACGCTGGATACTTCTTCGTGCGCCTCGTTTTTTTGTTAAATTCAAGGCTATGTAAGCTGGATTTGTCTGCACTCAGTATCAAACTAAAGTTACTAGAGTCGAACTAATCCGTCCATGGCCTGCGTGGCACTCGCTTGAAAAGGAAGGGAGAGGGGGTGTTTTGGCGCGGCCCCCTCGCGTTTCTTTCGCGCTCAAAACCCCCTTTCCCTTCCCTTTCAAACGCTTGCCACGCAGGCTAATCGGTCTATTTTGGCGTATTTTGATGAGGGAGTAGCCGTCTGTCTGTGCATTGGCGGCGGCCGACAAACCGTCTCTATTCTTTAGTGTCATGAAAACGACCAATCCGGCATTTATGTCTTGCACTGTACTTGCTCATTGGTCCCGGCGTAACCACTTGAACTGCCGTTCGGTAATCGAACTTAATCGAACTCAATCGAAGGATTTGGTTCGATTAAGTTCGGTAATCGAACACAGTTGAACCAAAAGAATTCGTGAGAGTTCGATTTCCGCACTAAATTGAAGCAATCGAACTTCATTGAACGTTCTAATCTTCACTCAAAATAGGCAAGAAAAAAACAACAAAACAACCAGATTATCTAAGATCATAAAGAATAAATGTTCCGGGTTTATTGAATTCGCTTGATCGCTTTGTTTTACTGTAGCGATGCTTAGTTTCCCTGGTCCACGTAGCAGATACAAAAGTGGAGGAGGTCTGAACCTAAAAGGGACGCTATAAAGTAAAAAAGTCTTTAACGGAACATAATGTTCACTGTGTGATTGAGGATAAAATTGCAATATGGCAATAATAGTCTTGTTCTTCCCGGGTGTTCTTCTTCTTGCAAAAAATACACTATACTGTACACTGATCCGCCACAATCACTCCTGGAATATACTCAGGCGTAGGAAACCCTACAAAAAGTAAAACATTCGGGAAAACACGCTCAATTTTCTTTATAGCGTCTTTTTTTTAATCGAATGAATGCCAACTTCGACCATCGAACCTAATCGAACTCAATCAAAGTTTGATTTAATTACTAATGTTTTTTTTTGTGAGAGTTCGATTGTGTGCGATCACCGAACTTAATCGAACATTATCGGTCGATTAAGTTCGATTAAACCTTCGTGGACTTAGTTCAAGTTGTTATGCCGGGATTGGTGGAGGAAAAGTTTGAAAGCAGATTTCATCATCCTCTGACTTGTAGCAACCAGCTTAACATAACTTTTAGTACAACTAACAATCAGTCCATTGTCACTGACAACCGTATTTATAAAATAATGGAATTCTCTTTAAAGGACAAGAAACGCGGGAAAACACCAGAAGTCAAAGTTCAATCACAGGGTCAGATCTGGATGCGTTTTGTTGTATTTTATTAGTAACCGGGGACCGTTTTTCATTGATCTGATCAAAGTCCGTGGTTTTCGCTTCACCCCGGCGCTCCACACCCATCCTTTATCATCATCATCCTTTATTGCACTTTGACTGAAAATAAAATAATGTTCTATGGAGTAACTGTTCGTTATTCTAAGAGCATCTCTTACCTTAAATAAGACAGCAGACTTTATCCCGTGTAATTTTCTGATCAACTCTCTACTGTCATATATCTCTAAGTAGTCTATGTAACATCACTCCTCCCAGTTCACACTGGGGAAAAGCCATATGCATGTAAACAGTGTGGAAAGTGTTTTGACCGAGTAGGAGACCTAAAGAGCCATAAAAGAGTTGACACTGGAGAAAAGCCTTATGAATGTAAACAGTGAGGTAAGTGTTTTAGCCAAGTAGGACACCTAAAGAGCCTTGAAAAAGTTCACACCGGGGAAAAGCCTTATGGATGTAAACAGTGTGGCAAGTGTTTCAGCCAAGGAGGAAGCGTAAGGACTCATGAAAGAGTTCACACTGGGGAAAAGCCTTATGAATGTAAGCAGTGTGGGAAGTGTTTCAGCCAAGCAGGACGCCTAAGGACTCATGAAGGAGTTCACACTGGGGAAAAGCCTTAGGAATGTAAACAGTGTGGCAAGTGTTTTAACTAAGCAGGAAACCTGAGGAGTCATGAAAGATTCCACACTCAGGAAAGGTCACTTAAATTTTCCCAGAAAAACAAATGTCTGTCCAAACGATTGGAATCCTCTAAACGGAAGAGAGCAGGAAGTGAAAACGTTGATGTCAGGGCAACAGGCTTTACAGAGAACCAACAGACACAGAGAGAAACCGGAAACAATGGTGTAACCAATGCACGATCGGTCATTAATAAGAATCACAGCTGCTGGATTTGTCAAGAGGAGATGGGTAGTGACGCTCTTCTTCTTCAACATTATGAAAATCATATGACCCATGTTTGTGACGATTATTGTTGAAGTTAAAAAAGGGTTTGGTCGTTTTAAGTTCTTCTCTTTTGTTTAATTTGTTTTGTGCTTTGACAGCATTTTTATTTTTGCAACTGTTAAAATTTCAATTGGTTTTGTTTAAGGCATGTTGCTTTCATACTGTTCATTCGATGTGAATGATTATCAAGGTGGGATAAACGATGAAGGGACAACTTCTCTAGTAATTCTTTCATAAAGGAAAAACTCGATTTAAATCAAAGTCTTAGTGCCTCTTAGTTAAGCCTGCTACAGAGCCGTTTTTAGTGTCGTCACGCAACGCTCCTCCACACAAACGGTTTGTGGGAGGAGCGTTGCGTGACGACACTTAAACCGGCTGTGTAGCAGACTACTCTTAATTTTAAGCGTTACATTTGTACGTGACCACTTATAGAAGACTATAAATTCTCATGATATGAATGGAAAGAAACTTTTTTCTTACAATGTAAAAAAGGCTTTCTTACTTTCATCCATATTCTACAGTCTTGTATTTATGATGTTCTCATAGCCGTGGTTCCGGGAACTCTTCAGTTATTATAATAAATGTTACCCCTATTGAAGAATGCCAATCACTTATTAATGCCTTTGGAGAATATTTATTGGTTTTAAAAGGCCCTGTGTATTAAGACTGACAGTATAAAGTGCCCCATTCCTGTAAGTTGCTTGATACTACTACAACTTTATGGTCAACTTAATAATTCCAAGAAAATAAAACCAAGTAATTGGTGGTTCAAATTCGATTTTTAAGGCCTCTGATCTCTTGCCGAGTTTTGTTAGTCCTTGTCTGGTAACCGCTCTTTCTGAGATCAAACCCACTTCACACCAATTTATCTGTTATACACAACGAAAATTAAACTTTTTAAGCTGAATTGGAAGTGTCTTTCTGATTATTTCGACATTCGCACGGCAACAACGAAGATTTTTTATTACACCATACAGCGCATGCCGTGTAAGGGGTGCTATCGTATTTCTATCGTTTAAGCGTTTTCTTGTAGACAGGCGAAGACGATTGAAATGCGTTACTGTTTTGGGGGGTTGCGCTCCTTTTGTCCAATCTGAATCCGGATTTTGCGATCCGAAATTTGATTTTTCGTTGCATCGAGGACTAAACCAATCTAAGATTGCAATCTGAACGATCCACCTCCGTACTTGGATCGTTCAGATTGGTAGATTGGTATCTCTATCTGGTTTCAGATTTTTGTTCCATTTAACGAATCTGCTTTTCGATCGCAAGAACGTGCTCGTTCATCAATAATGACGTTAGTTCAGGCAAACGTTATTTATACTCCTCCTTCGTTCTATGCCGCTAAAGGATTGTGGTGTATTAAACTTAAGTTCCACTGTAACTCTAAGTCCGTAAGGAAGCGAAAACGCTTGGATTTTCTCACCGATTTAAAGTTGTCCAATGTGTGTGTACAAACCTTAACCACAAAGGACTGCAAAGGACCACAAACAAATATGCCGTAGAACGTAGGATCTATAAAGACCTGACCAGCAAAAATGATCAGTAGACATTAAATTCTGCAAGCAGAATACTGCAATGCTGATCGTACTACGTGAAAATTAACTCTGCAACACATCAACGCGACACCGAAAGAACCAAAAACAGAGCGAGATTGTAGCTATAGACAGCTGTTTGGCCCTTTTTGGGGCTCGTCAGCATGGCGTAACGACCAGAGCAAGCTCTGATGAAAAATATCCGCGCACTCTGATTTAAGCCCTGACCTAGAACTCTCAACACCCACAGAACAAGTCATACCACGTGTCTTCTGGGGGGCAAGAGTCCAGTGTTTAGAGCCCAGTGGAGGGCGGGGGGGGTACTCCGCAGTTTAAGTGACAGGGATTATCGAACGGAAAAAAAATCGAACACCCCAAAAATTCCTAGGGCTTCAAACAAAACCCAAAGAATTTCCTGGACCAAAATTTAACCCGCAAAAAAATCCCGTGCCGAGCCATAAAAATTTCCAAGAAGCGTTAAATGATATAACTATCATGAATCTTCAGATTGTTTTCAATACCCAAAACAATCCCTACTTAAATCAAACTGCCCAAAAAATGCTTGCCAAAATCTTCCTACCCAAACAAATCCCGAAATCGAAAATTTCCAAAAGAAATCCTTTGATCATCCCTGTCCGGCTGGATATCGAGAGTATTCCCCCTTCCCCAGTCCGCTGGGGCTTAGACCGCGCTTCTCAGCACTTGAGAATTTGTAATTGTCTTCTGAATGTTCTTGAATCAAATTCCAGATAATTTTAAGTTGACAAGTGGTAATAGTATGAACCACCACTAGTTAAAGAGCAACGTTTGTTTCCATTTCTTCACTAAGAGAAGACGCTGAGTTTAGCGGAAAGTGTTGAAATTGAGAAGGAGATCGGAGCCTCAGGCAGCTGCTGTATGGATGAATCCAGTTACCGTATTTATTCGATTAACCGCCCTTGGCGCTTATTAATTTTTGGATCTTGAGAATTGGCACTTATTCGAGGTGGGCGCTTATTTGAGGCTGGGCGCCTATTGAATTTTCACCATTTTAAGCGTGTGTAGTATGTTTATTTTGCCACAAAACAATCAATGGTAACAACAAAACGAGAAGATGTAACAATGCAAGGTTTCTGTAAAATACTCAGAAGAAAAATCCGTCTTCGGGGAAGTCTCTCATTTGTACTTATTCATTTTGTTTTGTGTGTCGTAGGAGGAAGGGGGGCAGGGTAGGGGTAGGGGGTGGGCGCTTATCTGAGTTTGAGTGGGAAGGGGAGGGCTGTGGGGAGCGGGTGAACGCTTATTCGAGGCAGGGCGCTCATTAACTTTTCCTGCCTCTAGGATGGGCGCTTGCGCTTATTCGAGGTGGGCGCTAATTCGAGTTTGGGCGCTTATTCGAATAAATACGGTATTTCAAACTTTGTTCCGGCTGGCACGAAAATCCAAACAATCTGGATTTTTTGGACGCGTACTGTACGAACATTAGGGTGTGATAGCCAAGATTAGACAATTTTGTAATCGTTTTGTAATTTTGACATCAGCACAATTAATTTTGAAAATGAGGCATACTTTACTGGGGCGGATCTACGGGGAGGGTCTAGGGGTTGCGCACCCCCCCAAAGGTGACCTGCGGTTTTCCAATACAACTGGTATTCTGCAAAAAAAAAACTATGTGGTTTGTTGGTGTTGAAGTAGAGCAAGAGACGAGTGCACCCAGCCTCGTACCCAGGCCTGTTCGCGCTATCCGAGTGACCAGAGGAGGCTTGGAACCGAGCGCGATAGGCGAATTTTCCCGACAAGCTTTACAGGTGACGTCACATCCGAAATCGCCGAGGACGACTGGGAACGAGGCTGGAGTGCACCCCCTCCTCAAAAAAAATCCTGGATCCGCCCCTGGTTTACGTTAGGTTTATAGAAAAAAGCTTTGGTTTACCATGTTTGTCACCGCCTCTCGCCGTGTTTTTCTTTTTTCATCAATCTAGTACTGACGACCTAAGAAGTTTATAGCAAAACAAGTTTTACCAGTTATCTCTGATTCTCCGCATTTTGTAAACTAAAATTAAAAGAATTTTTAACCTATAGTTTCGGTTAAGTCTAAACACAAATATACTAAGAAACTTATAAGTCAATTCACAGTTTAACCACGGAAAAAAACTAAAACGTACAGATTGGACATAGGATATTAAATAAGTGAATGTGCTCATATCCGCTGGAAAAATGGCTAATTGAAGAAAATCAGTTGGCTGAAAAAGATACAAAACTCTATCAGCTAAAAGCTATAGAAATACCAGCTGAAATTTTTGACAAATAAATCCATCATCCGAACGTCAAGAGTCTGTCGAGCCAAGCTCCTTTAAGAACTGTTCAGATTTAGATTCTCTTACATACGCTGGATACTACTTCGTCTACATCGTGCGCCTCCTTTTCTTCTAATTCAAGCCTATGTAAACTGGATTTGTCTGCATTCAGTATCAAACTGAAGTTACTAGAGTTGAACTAATACACGTTTTCTGGCACCAATCAGAAGCCAGAACGGCGGCGACCGTTTGGAAGTGGTCTGGTAAGACATTGTCCCCAGGGGCTCTTCTCGCCGTTCTTTACTTTTCTTCGTGCCACATATATTTTTCCGCCGGTTTAGACTTTCCCTCGCCCCCTTTATCTGCCCCTGGGTCTCTGAGGATGCCTCGACGGACCCCCGGCGTTAACCCCCCGGCGTGTTTTTGTACTCTCCCCAGGTTTCTCTCACAATGCAAAATTAAGATGGCGGAAAGATGGCGTCTGTGAATCCTCCGGACTGGCCATTTCTTGGTTGCATTTTCCCTCGTGTGATTTGATCAAGGCGGAAATATCTTGTTACTTAAGGTAAGACAAGCTTTCAGTACATTAAGGATACGTTAGTCACACAGGTTACACAGGACATTGCCGTCCTCTTGCGAAATCTTTCAGTGGCACCGCAATGCTTTTTGAAGGTAATTTACATCATGATCGCATCGATCACTTGATTTAAACTGCGTTTGGTATTTAGTCAAGCATATCATTCCGATTCCAGCGTAACTGGGCCGATAAACCAATTTATTTCTGATCATTTTAAACGCCCTGTAAGCTTCGGAAGTTGACCTAAATTAAAATGTGCGAACATAGAAGTGTCCTTTATTGCACTTTGACTGAAAATAGTATAATGTTCTATGGAGTAACTGTTCGTTCTTCTAAGGGCATCTCTTACTTTAAACAAGACAGCAGATGTTATCCCGTGCAATTTTCTGATCAACTCTCTACTGTAATATATCTCTAAGTGGTCTAGGTAACTTCACTCCTTCCAGCCTGAGTGATTTTTATCTCATCTCACAACAAATCAAGTGACTTCGCTTCAGGTTTAGGAAACTACAATCGGCAACAAAATTATTGAGACATTGTACTCAACTAGAGTAATAACTACAGAGAAGAAAAGAATCTACCTCCCTCCCCACTCCCCTTCATTCAAAGTTGTGGTTTTTGTTGTTTTCTATAGGTAGCTCGAACAGCGGCACAACATTGCATGGAGGGGATGGGGGAGGGAAAGCTTTATTTCCCCTCTAGAAGTCAGTAAAGCATCAGCTTTAGGGCAAAGTGTCTCAACTACATTGTAATTTTGTTGCCAATTGTAGCTCTAGATTGTAGCAATACACACATACTTCCACTTGAGGAAAGGAAAAAAAAATAGAGCAGTTTATTGAATGTTGATTAATTATGCAAAAATCGTAATTGAATATGATTTATGCACAAATGTTCCTTTTTTTTTTTACTCTAATGAATGGATCTCTGCACTATTGGTTGCCGTTTCATGCATATTTTCTCTTAATGAACAGCAAAAGGTGTAATTCTCATAAACTTTTCTTTTGATGATGTATGAATATGATGAGGAGAAAATTAATGTTGGTCACTATTGGGACTTAGAGCGAAATTTGTTGTATCGTGCTGTGCGTTTTGCATATTTTGGGTTTTTCTGTTCCGTCAATCATCTTAGCTGACCTCTTAGGAAATACATGTTTACTTGCACGAGTTCAAAAGATCATGGTTTGTCATTTGTGATTGGTGGATCTCGATCCATTTTCTTTGTTTCCTGTTACAAGGTTTGTTGCTTTGTGATCGTCTGGTTTCGGGCAATAATCGACTAGTTAAGTTTGCTTCGCAGATTTTTATGATCTTTCTCATTCTTGTCACTTGGAAGAATAAAGCAATGTCTGCCTCCTTCCTTCAACAAAAAATCCACTCACCGTCGCAATTTCCTTTGCTATTCTTGAGCAGTTGGAGTCATTCTCAGCCAAGCTGGGCGAGCACGTTACAGTGGGATTTGCATTAACCTCACCTTCACTAAAATGACTGACGGAACAGAAAAACCCAAAATCTGTTCTAAGTTTGCAAATGTCTAAATGATCTTGAGTAACCACCGTGAAGATTTTCAAAAACTAAAATGTTTTTGTGAGCCTTTCAAAAGTTTCCACAAAATGTACAGCAAAAAATAGGGAGGTGTAGATAAAAATGCTGAATAAATGATAAAATAAACCTCTGAGTGTACCACTCGTGTTCATAGCAAGATAGAAAACACTGCAAACTTGAAAAATTAAAAATAAAATGCTTTTTGTCATGTGTAATTTGAAATCTCTTGCTTTACCATACATCACGACATTGTATCATTTCACTACAGGCAATAGTGACCTAACATTTCTAAAGGTGGGGAAGAGGTCTTGATTTTATTAGTGACGGTTTTTCTAAGACTATTAAACTCATTTGAGGCCATTTTCAGACAAGAAACTTCAACTACACTGCAGCAAGACAAGTGCTTGTTTGTTTACCTTTTATTGGCGGAAATATTTTTTCTATGGCTGACGACCAAACATTTTCTGTTTTTGTTTCAAAAGTGCAGAATGAGCGGGGAATTTTGTCGTTAATTTAACGAAAGTTATCCTGAGAATCATGATTTTTGTGCACCTGTTGACTCTTTTTGTTTCAAATTTTGGTCGCCCATAAGTAAATTGTAGAAGCCTCTGGCGACCAGGCCTTCATTAGGCAGTAGCAAGTGCCTAGTGTAAAGCATGTAAATACATACCTTGACAAGACAAGTTAGTATAAAAACAGTTTTGATTGTTCAAAAGATAGACTTCATACAAAAATACTGAGTCAATTTTCCAAACTTTAAGATAAAGAACCTTTCAGTGGCCCTTTTTTATTAACTTTGCATATGCACTTGTACATGCAAGTGCTCCTGGCTGTACCATTTGCTGTTTTTGCGAATGGTTATCTTTATTTTTCTTGAGAAATAAATCGTGTCTCAAAATCCTTTCAAGTGGTGAATATAAAAAATGCTTGTTTCTCGAAACTCAAGACTCTATGTTTGCATTTTGAAACTCAATTTGTTGGACTTTGAAGTATTCTTCTGGTTTCATCTCATCGCGCAATGCTCATTGGCGTTGTGTAATGAGAAAAAATTGTCTGCGTTTCAAGGAGAGAGAATCAAGTTTCGAGGAAGTATCAATATGGTCACTCTGGTGAACTAATTAAAAGTAGGTTTTGGTACACTGGCTGTAGGGGTCCATTCTTGAAGTACAATAAAGCAAATAATATCTCTAGTACAGGAAAGAGGAGATTGGCCCTTGAATGTTAGTTGATCCTTTACTACTGTATGCTACTATTTGTGCCCATGAGTTTGATAAATAATAAATTTGAAGGTTATCGATCAACAGATTAGTGCACTGTTTGTCGTGCACTAGAACTGTGACACATTAATAAAGTTACTGTCTTTTTTAATGGGCCCCTAGAAATGAAGCTTTTTATTTGAGGAGTCCAAAGGGCTCCCAAAAATTCTCTTAGCGAGTAGCCTTGCTCTAAGGTAAATGCAAATGTACACTCGTGTGCCGTCACATCACTGAACGTTATATAAACAATCATTTTTCTGTTTCGGGATTATTTCCGCTTGAGACGTAGGTTAGTCATTTTAGAGATAGTATCTATCAGAAATCCTTATTATTGGTCAATCTGTTATGCTCGGATTTCCTTTAGCAAAGTATAATAGTCATTGTCTTATTTACGCGCTAGTTTTTTCACATCAACCCAGCCTATGTAAGTTCTTTCCTTTTTTACCTTATAAAAAGTAATTTCAACTTTGCTGGTTATGCTGCCCTATCTCGGCCAAGACCAAATATCGGTTGAGGTAGCGGAACAACTCGCACTTCCTAACCATTGGTTACTGCTAGTTATAGTAGTTCTAAATTTGATTCTGGTTTGAGATAAATGTGTTTCAAAATTGTTAAAACCAGTGTTTCCATAATAATAATAATAATATTTATTATTTGGTATTGTGCAAATTAACATATATCAAAATGATCAAATGTGCATTACAAGCTATTAAAGCTAACTAAAAATATATTAATTATCGAATTAAAACATGAATATATCTGTAAATGACACCTAACTTAATTATTTAGTACTTAACCTATTACTTACAATAATTATAACTAAAAGAAATGCTATATGTTACATTAAATTGATAAAAAAGAGAGTAAAATGAATATACACCTATGTTTAGTTAGAAATTGTATGCAAGTTTAAAATAATAAGTCTTTAGCTGTTTCTTAAAAGTATAATAGTTGTCCTTTTTCCTAATGTCCTTAGGTAAAATGCTCCAGATTCTATGGGCGGCTACTTTGAAAGTCCTGTCTCCAAGTGTGGGGAGTCCTGTCTCCATAGCTGACCGTGTCCCTTAAACTAATCTATATAAGGACCAAAATCAGTTTTTAAAAATTTATTACTATTTATTCTTTTTAAGTGTGACTTGAGATCATATTCATTATTTAAACTAATATATGCACCCCTCTTTCTTGGAAAAATGGCCACCTACAGAATAACAACAAGGGTGGTCACTAGACTGTTACCAAGAGTAAGAGAATAAGCCACTCTGTTACTCTTTAGACCGAATAAATAAGTGATAGATGCTATAACCTTATAAGCTTCAAGATCAACATGGAAATTCTCCACATTGGCCTCCATACAATTCATGAAAAATTTGTTGAGAGAATTTGTTTAAAGATCAAAGCATATTCCTTGAAGTGATCATTTTATTAATTCTCATAACCTTTCTACTTGATTATATACTGATGTTGTTTGGGGAAAATTGATGTTGATCACTCCTGGGACTTAAAGGGATAAATAAATCACAACTGTAACACTTCATGTGGACTGATCTTGTATGGAAGTTGCCATTTATTTTTGATCTTCCAATTTCATGTGCTTGAGTGTTTCCACTTTGCATTCCAGTGTTATTATGAAGAATCAATTATTGATACCATTTTCTGGCTGCTGTTTGGTTGTTTGTTCTTGGTCCAAAACAGGAAGTAGGGAACCGTTACTTCAGTCTGTTCCTCCCTCTTTCTTGTTTGTGTTTATTGATGTATTTCACAGTAAATTAAATAACCGTCCCCCCTCTCTAATAATCCTTCCTCTCTGTTAAGCTCCCCCATTAAACATGCTTGAAATGAAAATGCCTCCAGGGAGCTTAATAGAGGATTTATGGTAATACAGGTTTCACTATATTGTCTGTATGAATGCTGTATGATGAACCTTAATTACCATTATTTTACAAGTGTGTTATTTTACAAACCAGGAGGAACTCTCAGATCCAAATACAAAGTCAACCAATAATCAACTGACCCATGTTGATGGATTCTGTAGTTTGAAGGGTTCATGTAAAATTTTACGTATGTAATCAGCTGGTTTATTGTGTGGAACCACTTTTTCATGAGCGGGTGTCTTAAAAGTTTTCTAATTTTCCACGTGTCCTTGACAACACCACCTTTAACCTACTCACTTCAGGCCTCTCACCATCTTGTCGAAAAGTTTATGCTCGCAGCAACAAAGCAAATAATGTGTATTTACCTATTTATGGTTCTTCATCTTTTCAAAGGTATCCTAACTATAAAACCTTTAAATCAGAGCAACCTCAATGTCCTTTGAGTGTCAGCAGTGTGGCAAGTGTTTTAACAATGCAGGACACTTTAGGGCTCATAAAAGATTCCACACTGGGGAAAAGTCTCATGAATGTAAACAGTGTGGCAAGTGTTTTAGCCGATCAGGAGACCTAAGGATTCATGAAAGAGTTCACACTGGGGAAAAGCCTTATGAATGTAAACAGTGTGGCAAGCGTTTCAACCGAGCAGGAAACCTAAGGAATCATGAAAGACTTCACACTGGGGAAAAGCCTTATGAATGTAAACAGTGTGGCAAGTGTTTTAGTGAAGCAGGAAAGCTAAGGATACATGAAAGAGTTCACACTGGGGAAAAGCCTTTTGAATGTAAACAGTGTGGTAAGTGTTTTAGGGTAGCAGGACACCTAACGACTCATGAAAGAGTTCACACTGGAGAAAAGCCTTACGAATGTAAACAGTGTGGCAAGTGCTTTATTGTAGCAGGAAACCTAAGGAGGCATGAAAGAGTTCACACTGGGGAAAAGCGTTTTGAATGTAAACAGTGTGGCAAGTGTTTTAGCGAAGCAGGAAGCCTAAGGACTCATGAAAGAGTTCACACTGGGGAAAAGCCGTATGAATGTAAACAGTGTGATAAGTGTTTTAGTGAAGCAGGAAGCCTAAGGAGACATGAAAGAGTTCACACTGGGGAAAAGCCTTATGAATGTAAACAGTGTGGCAAGTGTTTTAGTGTAGCAGGAAGCCTAAGGAAACATGAAAGAGTTCACACTGGGGAAAAGCCTTATGAATGTAAACAGTGTGGCAAGTGTTTTAGTGTAGCAGGAAGCCTAAGGAGACATGAAATAGTTCACACTGGGGAAAAGCGTTTTGCATGTAAACAGTGTGGCAAGTGTTTTAGCGAAGCAGGAAGCCTAAGGACTCACGAAAGAGTTCACACTGGTGAAAAGCCTTACGAATGTAAACAGTGTGGCAAGTGTTTTAACCAAGCAGGAAACCTGAGGAGTCATGAAAGATTCCACACTCAGGAAAGATCACTTAAATTTTCCCAGAAAAACAAACGTCTTTCCAAACGTTTCGAATCCTGTAAACGGAAGACAGCAGGAAGTGAAAACATTGATGTCAGGGCAACAGGCTTTACAGAGAACCAGCAGACACAGAGAGAAACCGGAAACTCTGGTGTAACAGATGCACGATCGGTCATTATTGAGAAACACAGCTGTTGGATTTGTCAAGAGGAGATGAGTAGTGAGGCTCTTCTTCTTCAACATTATGAAAATCATATGACCCATGTTTGTGACGATTATTCTTGAAGTTAAAAAAACATTTTGGTCCTTTTAAGTTCTTCTCTTTGGTTTGTTTTTTGGTGCTTTGACAACATTTTTAAGTTTTCAACTCTAAAAGGTTTTGTTTAAAGCGTGTTACTTTCATACGTGTGTTTCGTTCGATGTATATGATTATCATGATGGAATAAACGATGAAAGAACAGCTTCTGTCTTAATTCTTCGGTGAAAGAAAAACGCGATTTAAATCAAAGTCTTAGGCCCGGTTCAGACGCCGTACTTTTCATGAGCCGAACCTAATTCGAATTAAGACCGACCCAAATTATTTGGATCGGCTGAATTTATTCAGACACCGATCTTAATTCCAGCCGAACTAAATTCAGAAGGAGAAAAATGCGCATTGCGGTCAAACTGCTTAGAAAATACGTCATAATAATTTATGCATTAGGTTAGGTACATGAAAAGTCCGGCGTCCGAATCAAAGCCGTTCCAAAGTCGCTCCAAAGGCGAAATTCCCGGCCAGGTTAGGCGAAAAGAACGTCTGAGCCGTTCCAAATTGAAACAGGCGTTCCTAATTTATTCAGACGCCGAACTTTTCATGTAGTTAATTTAATGTATGAGGTTCGGCTCATGAAAAGTTCGACGTCGAAACCGGGCCTTAGTGCTTATTTGTACGTGACCACTTAAAGAAGACTCTAACTTCTCATGATACGAATGGAAAGATACTTTTTTCTTACAATGTAAAAAAGTACTTTCTTAGTTTCATCCACATTCTACAGTCTCCGGGTACTCCCGCAGTTCAAGTGACAGGGATGATCGAATGGGGAAAAAATCAAAACCCCCAAAAGTCCCTAGTGCTTTAAACAAAACCCAAAGAACCCCTGGACCAAAATTTAACCTGCAAAAAAATCCCGTGCGGAGCCATAAAAATTTCCAGGAAGCGTTAAATGATATAACTATCATGAATCTTCAGATTGTTTTGAATACCCAAAACAATCCCACTTAAATCAAGCTGCCAAATAAATACTTGCTAAAATTTTCCTGCCCAAACAAATCCCGAAATCGAAAATTTGAGACCGAAAAAAATACTTTGATCATCTCTGTCACTTGAAATCCGGAGTATCCCCGCCCCGCTGGGGTTTGGAGCGCGCTTCTCAGCTCTTGAGAATTTGTAATTGTCTTGTGAATGTTCTTGAATCAAATTCCAGATAATTTTAAGTTGACAAGTGGCAACAGCATGAACAACTACTAGTTAAAGAGCAACGTTTCTTTCCATTTCTCCACCGTGAAGAGAAGACGCTGAATTTAGGGGAAAGTGTTGGAATTGAGAAGAAGATCAGAGCAGCAGGCAACTGTTGTATGGATCGATCCAGTTATTTCAAATGTTTGTTCCGGCGAGCACGAAAATCCAAACAATCTGGATTTTTTGGGACGCGTACTGTTCGGACATTAGGGTGTGATAGCCAAGATTAGACAATTTTGTAATCGTTTTGAAATTTTGATATTAACACAATTAATTTTGAAAATGAGGCATATTTTACGAAAAAAAAGCTTTGGTTTACCATGTTTATCACCGCCTGTCGCCGTGGTTTTCTTTTTTCATCATCAATCTAGTATGATGACCTAAGAAGATTATAGCAAAACAAGTTTTACCAGTTATCTCTGATTCTCCGCATTTTGTAAAATAAAATTAAAAGAATTTTTAACCAATAGTTTCTGTGAAGTCTAAACACAAATATACTAAGGGACTTATAAGTCAATTCACACTTTACCCACAGGAAAAAAAAATTAAAATGTACAGATTGGACAGAGGATATTGAACAAGTGAATATGATCATATCCGCTGAAAAAATGGCTAATTCAAGAAAATCAGTTAGCTGAAAAAAAAAAATACAAAAACCCATTGAGATAAAACTTCACACTTTTAGTACAACTGACAATCAGTCCATTGTCATTGAGAACCGTATTTATAAAATAATGGAATTCTCTTTGAAGGACAAGAAACGCGGAAAAACACCAGAAGTCAAAGTTCAGTCACAGAGTCAGATATGGATGCGTTTTGTTGCATTTTATTAGTAACCGGGGACCGTGTTTCATTGATCTGATCAAAGTCCGTGGTTTTTACTTCACCCCGGCGCTCCACACCCACCTTGGGATTGGCCTTGCTTGCTTGAAAAACGCGAAAAAATAACTCATGGGGCTGCAGCCTACAGGAATATGGCCAACGAGAACAGCCCCCACTACCCCAAACACGTTTCTTGTTGTCTACCCCTAACCTTCCATCGGAAAAACGATTTGAACATAGAAGGAAGAGAGGCTACATAAAAGTAAATACACTAAAAGTACAGCAATTGAATTCCTTGAAACTACCAAACAAACAAACAAGTAAAAAAAACGACCCTAGCCCACATTCTTCTCCTAACCCTCCCAGCCATGTCATCCAGCTCAAAATCTCAGACGATCTCCAACGATCATCCTCGACGGACCCCCGGCGGACCGCAGGTGTGTTTTTGTACTCTCCCCAGGTTTCTCTCACAATTCAAAATAAAGATGGCGGCGGATGTGTGAATCTGTGAATCCTCGAGACAGGCCATTTCTTGGTTGCATTTTCCCTCGTGTGATTTGATTAAGGCGGAAATATCTTGTTACTTAAGGTAAGACAAGCTTTCAGTACATTAAGAATACGTTAGTCACACAGGTTACACAGGACACTGCCGTCCTCTTGCGAAATCTTTCAGTGACACTGCAATGGTTTTTGAAGGTAATATAGATCATGATCGCATCGATCACTTGATTTAAACTGCATTCGGCATTTGGTCAAACATATCATTCCGACTGCGGTGTAACTGGGCCGATAAACCAATTTATTTCTGATCATTTTACACGCCCTATAAGCTTCGGAAGTTGATCTAAAAATTATGTGCGATCATAGAAGTGTCCTTTATTGCACTTTGACTGAACATAAAATAATATTCTAGGGAGAAACTGTTCGTTCTTCTAAGGGCATCTCTTACTTTAAACAAAACAGCAGATTTTATCCCGTGTAATTTTCTGATCAACTCTCCACTGTAATATATCTCTAAGTAGTGTATGTAACATCGTGCACTCCTTCCAGCCTGAGGGATTTTTATCTCATCTCACAACAAATCAAGTGACTTCGGTTCAGTTTTAGGAAACTACAATCGGCAACAAAATTATTGGAGCATTTCACTCAACTAGGGTAATAAGTACAGAGAAGAAGAGAATCTACCTCCCTCCCCACTCCCCTTAATTCAAAGTTGCAGTTTTTGTTGCTTTAACTATAGGTAGCTCGAACAGCGTCACAACATTGCATGGAGGGGATGGATGAGGGAAAGCTTTATTTCCCCTCTAGAAGTCAGTAAAGCATCAGCTTTAGGACAAAGTGTCTCAACTACATTGTAATTTTGTCGCCGATTGTAGCTTCTAGATTGTAGCAATACACACTTACCTCCACTTAAGGAAAGGAAAAGAAAAATAGAGCAGTTTAATTATGCAAAAATCGTAATTGAATATGATTTATGCGCAAATGTTCCTTTTTTTCACTCTAATGAATGGATCTGTGCACTATTGATTGCCGTTTCATGCAAACGAATGCATATTTTCTCGTAATAAACAGCAAAAGCTGTAATTCTCATAAACTTTTCTTTTGATGATGCATGGATATCGTTAGGAGAAAATTAATGTTGGTCACTATTGGGACTTATAGTGAAATTTGTTGTATCCCGCTGTGCATTTTGCATATTTTGGGTTTTTGTGTTCCCTCAATTATCTTAGCGGACCTTTTAGGAAATACATATTTACTTGCACGAGTTCAAAAGGTCATGGTTTGTCATTTGTGATTGGTGGATCTCGATCTGTTTTGTTTGTTTTCTGTTACAAGGCTTGTTGCTTTGTGATCGTCCTGTTTTGGGCAATAATCGACTGATTGGTCACGGCTTAACTGACAGACGACCAATAACGTTACAAAGTAATTGACCAATCAGATCAATAAGCAGAGTATAATACCATCTACTGACATGATACAACTTACTTTGACTCTGAAGATGACTACCACACAAGTTGTGGAAACATCAGTTACTGTCAACAACAACAGAACAGTCCTATTCAGGACTACATTCAACCGGATGATCAAACTCAACCTACTTTTGAAATGACTCCTGGGTTCAAACCTTTCACAAAATACTTTTTGTCATGTGTAAATGAAATCTCTTGCTTTTCCATGCATCATGACTTTGTATCATTTTACTACATACAATAGTGACCTAACATTTCTAATGCTGGGGAAAAGGTCTTAATTTTATTATTGACGGTTTTTCTAAGACTATGAAATTCATTTGACTCCATTTTGAGACAAGAAACTTCAACTACACTGCAGGAAGACAAGTGCTCGTTTGTTTACATTTAATTGGTGGAAATATTTTTTTTCCTTTGGCTGATGACCAATGGTTTTCTGTTTTTGTTTCAAAAATGCAGAATGAGCGGAAAATTTTTTTGTTAATTTAATGGAAGTTATCCTAAGAATCATGATTTTCATGCACCCGTTCAGACTTTTTGTTTCAAATTTTGGTCACCCATGAGTAAATTGTAGGAGTCTCTGGCAACCAGGCCCCCATTAGGTAGTAGCTTTGACATTGCCTAGTGTAAAGCACGTAAATACATACCTTGACAAGTATAAAAACAGTTTTGATAGTTCAAAAGTTAGACTTAACAAAAATACTGAGTCAATTTTCCAAACTATAAGATAAAAAACCTTTTGTTGGTCCTTTTTTATTAACTTTGCATATGCACTTGTACAAGCAAGTGCTCTTGGCTTTACCGTTTGTCGTTTTTGCAAATGGTTTTTATTTTTCATGAGACATAAATTGTGTCTCATAATCCATTCAAGTGGTAAATATAAAAAATGCTTGTTTCTCGAAACTCAAGATTCAATGTTTGTGTTCTAAAACTCAATTTGTTGTAGTTTGAAGTATTCTTCTGTTTTCATCTCGTCACGCAATGCTCATTAGCGTTGTGTAATGAGACAAAGTTGTCTGTCTTTCAAGGAGAGAGAATCAAGTCTCAAGGAAGTGTTCAAGATTCTCAACTTTAGATACAGACACTATCAATATGGTCATTCTGGTGAACTAATTAAAACTAGGTTTAGGTACACTGGCTGTAGGGGTCTGTTTTTGAAATAAAATAAAGCAAATAATACCTCTAGTACAGGAAAAAGGAGATTGGCCCTTGAGTGTTAGTTGATCCTTTACTACTGTATGCTACTATTTGTGCCCTTGAGTTTGATAAATAATAAATTTGAAGGTTATCGATCAACAGATTAGCGCTCGGTTTGTCGTGAGCTAGAAGTGTGACACATTAATAAAGTTACTGTCTTTTTTAATGGGCCCCTATAAATGTAGCTTTTTATTTGAGGAGCCTGAAGGGCTCCCAAAAATTCTCTTAGCCGGCAGCCTTGCCCTAAGGTAAATGCAAATGTTCACTTGCACTTCCTAACCATTGGTTACTGTTAGTTATAGCAGTTCTAAATTTGATTCTGGTTTGAGATAAATGCATTTCAAACTGACAAAACCAGTGGTTCCATAGCTGACTGTGTCCCTTAAACTAATCTATATAAGGACCAAAATCACTGTTTAAAAAATTTATTATTATTTATCCTTTTTAAGAGTGACTTGAAATCATATTCATTATTTTAGGTAATATATGCATCCCTCTTTCTTGGAAAAATGGCCACCTACAGAATAACAACAAGGGTGGCCACTGGACTCTCACAAAGACTCTTTAGACCAAATAAATATGTGATAGATGCTATAGCCTGTTAAGTTTCAAGATCAAAATGGAAATTCTCCAAGCTGGCCTCCATACAATTCTTGAAAAATTGGTGGAGAGAATTTTTTTAAAGATCAAAGCATATTTCCTTGAAGTGATCATTTTATTAATTGTCACTAACCTTTCTACTTGATTATATACTGATGTTGTTTGGGGAAAAATGATGTTGATCACCCCTGGGACTTAAAGGGATAAATAAATCCCGACTGTAACACTTCATGTGGACTGATCTTGTACAGAAGTTGAGATTTATTTTTGATCTTCCAATTTCATGTGCTTGAGTGTTTCCACTTTGCATTCCAGTGTTATTATGAAGAATCAATTATTGATACCATTTTCTGGCTGCTGTTTGGTTGTTTGTTTGTTTGTTTGTTCCTGGTGCAAAACAGGAAGTACGGAACCGTTACTTCAGTGTATTCCTTCCTCTCCCTTTTTTGTGTTTATTGATGCATTTCACAGTAAATTAAATAACCCTGCCCCCTCTCTAATAATCCTCCCTCTCTGTTAAGTTCCCCCCATCAAACATGCTTAAAATGAAAAGGCCTATTAATAGAGGATTTATGGTAATACAGGTTTCACTATATTGTCTGTATGAATGCTGTATGATGAACCTTAATTACCATTATTTTAAAAGTGTGTTATTTTACAAACCACAACGAACTCTCAGATCCAAATACAAAGTCAACAAATACCGTAAAATTCCGAAAGTAAGCCTCACGGCCTTTATTTTTCAAAGGCCCTTTTTGAGGGGATTATTTTTGGAGGGGCTTATCTACGGAGGGAAATTTCCGTTTCAAAATTGGTTGGGTTAGCCTTATAGTTGTAACTAAATTTACCGTTTTTGCTTTGTTTTACTTTGAATTTGAGGGCTATTTTCCAAGTACCAGCCCCTGGGAGGCTTATATTTGGAGGCGCGATTTAACAGAGGGTTTTTTGCATTACTGGTTTGGGGGGCTTATATTGGAGGGGCTTATTTTCAGAATTTTACGGTAATCACCTGAGCCATGTTGATGGATTCTCTAGTTTGAAGGGTTCACGTAAAACGTTTGGTGTGTAATCAGCTGGTCTATGGTATGGAGCCACTTTTTCATAAGTGGGTGTCTTAAAAGTTTTCTAATTTTCCACATGTCCCTGACAACACCACCTTTAAACTACTCACTTCAGGCCTCTCACCACCAGGCCCCAAAGGTTATGCTGGCGGCAACAAAACAAATATTGTTTATTTACCTAATTATGGTTTTTCATCTTTCCAAAGGTATCCTAACTGTAAAAACTTAAAAGAAGAGCAAGCTCAATGTCCTTTGAGTGTCAGCAGAGTGGCAAGTGTTTTTACAATACAGGACTCTTTAGGGCTCGTGGAAGAGTTCACACTGGGGAAAAGCCATATGAATGTAAACAGTGTGGCAAGTGTTTTAGCCAATCAGGAAACCTAAGGAGCCATGAAAGAGTTCACACTGGGGAAAAGCCATATGAATGTAAACAATGTGGCAAGTGTTTTATCCAAGCAGGAAACCTAAGGAGCCATGAAAGAGTTCACACTGGGGAAAAGCCTTATGAATGTAAACAGTGTGGCAAGTGTTTTAGTCAAGCAGGACACCTAAGGACTCATGAAACAGTTCACACTGGGGAAAAGCCTTATGAATGTAAACAGTGTGGCAAGTGTTTTAGCCGATCAAGAGTCCTAAGGAGCCATGAAAGAGTTCACACTGGGGAAAAGCCTTATGAATGTAAACAGTGTGGCAAGTGTTTTAGTCAAGCAGGAAACCTAAGGACTCATGAAAGAGTTCACACTGGGGAAAAGCCTTATGAATGTAAACAGTGTGGCAGGTGTTTTAGTGAAGCTGGAAGCCTAAGGACTCATGAAAGAGTTCACTCTGGGGAAAAGCCTTATGAATGTATACAGTGTGGCAAGTGTTTTAGCCAAGCAGGACATCTAAAGGTTCATCAAAGATTACATACAGCGGAAAAACCTTACGAATGTAAACAATGTGGCAAGTGTTTTAACCAAGCAGGAAACCTGAGGAGTCATGAAAGATTCCACACTCAGGAAAGGTCACATAAATTTTCCCAGAAAAACAAATGTCTTTCCAAACGTTTGAAATCCTGTAAACGGAAGAGAGCAGGAAGTGAAAACGTAGATGTCAGGGCCACAGGCTTTACAGAGAACCAGCAGACACAGAGAGAAACCGGAAACACTGGTGCAACAGATGCACGTTTGGTCATTATTGAGAAACACAGCTGTTGGATTTGTCAAGAGGAGATGAGTAGTGAGGCTCTTCTTCTTCAACACTATGAAAATCATATGACTCATGTTTGTGACGATTATTCTTAAAGGTAAAAAAAACATTTTGGTCCTGTTCTTCTCTTTTGTTTGTTTTTGGTGCTTTGACAACATTTTTAAGTTTTCAACTCTAAAAGCAATTGTTTAAAGCTTGTTACTTTCATACTTTTGGTTCATTCGATTTATATGATTATCAAGATGGAATAAACGATGAAAGAACAGCTTCTGTGTTAATTCTTCGGTGAAAGAAAAACTCGATTTAAATTTTATCTTAGTTGGTACTTATTTGTATGTGACCACTTATAGAAGACTATGACTTCTCATGATACGAATGGAAAGAGACTTTTTACTTACAATGTAAAAATATGCTTTCTTAGTTTCATCCATATTCTACAGTCTTGTATTTATAATGTTCTCATACCTGTGGCCTGTGGAACTCTCCAGTTATAATAGTAACTGTTATTTGACAGTTATTGAATGAGGCTGAGGATCTTATGAAGAATTATGGAGATCGAGGAGGGTGTTATCCGTCGAGGCCGTAGGCCAAAGCGGATAACACCCTCCGAGATCTCCATAATTCTTCATATCATACGAAAGCCGAATTCAACAACTGTTTTATTATTCGTTCAAAATAATTCCTAGTTTAAAAACATAGCTATAACATGCTTACCTCCATCGATTCATCGATGTTCAGTTCATCTTTGATAGTGTACGTTTAGGGTTGTTCAGCTCCACAAATATTCTCCAAATAGCAGATGTCGCCCTTCGAGTTGTCTTCTTGCTGTTCTTGCCATGTTTTTAGCTATTGTTTCGCCTAGTTCTTACTCTTGAAACGAGTGAAATGTCCGCCATTTTTTCAAGTTCACAACCAAAACAACTCAACCTCGTCCCCAGGTCTTCTCGGTTAACGGTGCCTTAACCTGCGAAAACGCTGCATTTTTGACGTCATTTCCTCGTTAAAGTCAAATTTCTTCCAAATTTGGTCATCGTGACTGGTTATGGTGAATTACACGCGTGCTTTTAGCCAATCAGAATCGGGGAAATATTTTGAATGAATAATAATTTCTGATAAAGAATCGAAATCACCTATTTTAAAATGCCTTTGGAGAATATTTATTGGTGTTAAAAGGCCCTGTGTATTAAGTCTGACAGTATAACTTGCCCCATTCCATAAGTTGCTTGATATTACTACAACTTTATAGTCAACTTAATAATTCCAAGAAGATAAAACCAAGTAATTGGTGGTTCAAAATCTATTTTTAATGCCTTTGATCTCTTGGCGAGTTTTGTTAGTCCTTGCCTGGTAACCATTCTGTCTGAGATCAAACCCACTTCACACCAATTTATCTGTTATCCATAACTAAAATTAAACTTTTCAAGCTAAATTGGAACTGTTTTTCTGATTATTTAAACATTGGCAGCAACAAACATTTTTTATTACACCATACAGTGCATGCCGTGTAAGGGATGCTGTCGTATTTCTATCGTTTAAGCGTTTTCTTGTGGACAGGCGAAGACGATTGAAACACGTTACTGTTTTGGGTTGTGTTCCTTTTGACCAATCGAAATCGGGATTTTCCGATCCGAAATTTGATTTTTCGTTGCATCAAGGAGTAAACCAATCTAAGATTGCAGTCTGAACGATCCACCTCTGTACTTGGATCGTTCAGATTGGTATCTTAATCTGGTTTCAGATTTTTGTTGCTTTTCGATCGCAAGAACGTGCTGGTTGATCAATAAAGACGTTAGTTCAAGCAACAGTTATTTATATTCCCCCTTTGTTCTATGCCGCTAAAGGATTGTGGTATATTAAACTTAAGTTCCACTGTAACTAAATCCGTAAGGAAGCGAAAACGCTTGGATTTTCTCACCGATTGAAAGTTGTCCAATGTGTGTGTGTTTAGAGCCCAGTGGGGGGCGGGGGCGGTACTCCGGAGTTTAAGTGACAGCGATGATCAAATGGGGAAAAAATCAAAGCCCCCAAAATTTCTGGGGCTTCAAACAAAACCCAAAGAACTCCCTGGACCAAAATTTAACCCGCAAAAGAATCCCGTGCCGAGCCATAAAAATTTCCAGGAAGCGTTAAATGATATAACAATCATAAATCTTCAGATAGTTTTGAATACCCAAAACAATCTCTACGTAAATCAAACTGCCCAAAAAACTTGCGAAAATTTTCCTACTTAAACAAATCCCGGAATCGAAAATTTCCAAACAAATCCTTTGATCATCCCTGTCACTTGAAATCCGGAGTACCCCCCCCCCCCCCCCCCCCATACTCGCTATGCGCTTCTCAGCACTTGAGAAATTGCAATTGTCTTCTAAATGTTCTTGAATCAAATTCCAGATAATTTTAAGTTGACAAGTGGTAATAGCATGAATAACCACTAGTTAAAGAGTAACGTTTCTTTCCATTTCTCCACTAAGAGAAGACGCTGAGTTTGGCGGAAATTGATGAATTGCGAATAAAATCAGAGCATCAGGCAGCTGCTGTATGGATCAATCCAGTTATTTGAAATGTTCTTCCGGCAAGCACGAAACTCCAAGCAATCTGGATTTTTTTGGACCCGTACTGTCCGGATATTAGGGTGTGATAACCAAGATTAGACAATTTTGTAATCGTTTTGAAATCTTGATATCAGCAAAAAGAGTTTTGAAAATGAGGCAAAGTTTACGTTAGGTTTATAGAAAAAAAGCTTTGGTTTACCATGTTTATCACCGCCTCTCGCCGTGTTTTTCTTTTTTCATCAATCTAGTATGATGACCTGAGAAGATACTGGCGAAACAAGTTTTACCAGTTATCTCTGATTCTCTGCATTTTGTAAAATAAAATTAAAGGAATATTTAACAATAGTTTCTGTTAAGTCTAAATACAAATACACTAAGGGACTTATAAGTCAATTCACAATTTAGCGAGGCAAAAAAAATTAAAATGTACAGATTGGACATAGGATATTAAATAAGTGAATGTGATCATATCCGCTGGAAAAATGGCTAATTTAAGAAAATTAGTTAGCTGAAAAAAGTACAAAAATCCATCGAGATAAAAAAAGCTATAGAAATACTAGCTGAAATTTTTGAAAAATAAATCCATCATCCGAACTTCAAGAGTCTGTCAAGCCAAGCTCGTTAAAGAACTCTTCAGATTTAGTTTCTCTTACATACGCTGGATACTAGTTCCGGTGCGCCTCGTTTTTTTTTTTTTTTTATTCAAGTTTATGCAAGCTGGATTTTTCTGCATTCAGTATCAAACTGAAGTTAGTGGAGTCGAACTAATCCGTCTATGGCCTGCGTGGCAGGTGCTTGAAACGGAAGGGAAAGTGGGTGTTTTGGCGCCCCCTCGCGTTTCGTTCGCGCTCAAAACCCCCTTTCGCTTCCCTTTCAAACGCCTGTCACGCAGGCTAATCCGTCTATGTTGGCGTATTTTGATGAGGGAGTAGCCGTCTGTCTGTGCATGGGCGGCGGCCGATAAACTGTCTTTATTCTTTAGTGTCATGAAAACGACCAATCCAGCATTTATGTCTTGCACTGTACTTGCTCCCGATATTGGTCCCGGCGTAACCACTTGAACTGCCGTTCGGTAATGGAACTTAATCGAACTCAGTCGAAGGTTTGGGTTCGATTAAGTTCGGTAATCGAACACAGTCAAACCAAAAAAATCGTGAGAGTTCTATTTCCGCACCCAATCGAAACAATGGAACTTAATTGAACGTTCTAATCTACACTCAAAATAGGCAAGAACAAAGCAACAAAACAATCAGATTATCTACGATCATGAAGAATAAATGTTCCGGGTTTAGGGAAAGTTCATTTAATATGACAAGGGGGGGCGATGAAGATATTGAAACTCGAAGCTTGAAATTTTAGCAGCCCCCTCGCTAGCGGTTCAATTTTTTAGGAGCCCCCTCCTTGATAGTCGAAAAAAATTTAGAGCCCCCCCCCCCCTCCTCCTTCAATTTGCTCCCCTGAAAAAAGATCGCTGGACTGTATTAAATATATTTACCGTTATTGTCTTCAATGGTTTATACTATGACAAACTTAAGATACAGTTGTGATACAATTTTCTAAAGCATTTTTGGGATGAACAAGAGTGTAATAATTACTGAGACTACATTTGTTATGTCTGTAAACCACGTGATATAGCTGAGTTGCACAGGTCATTAAATTGTTGAGTTGAAAACCATCCGATCTGTATGATGATGTCATGTGTTGGTTTTCAAGTATACAAATTTTCGGAGCCCCCCCTCCTAGTGCAACATTTTTTTCAGAGCCCCCTTCGGGTGTCTAAAATTTTCGGAGCCCCCCCTCAATATCTTCATCCCCCCCCCTTGTCATATTAAATGAACTTTCCCTTATTGAATTCACTTGATCGCTATGTTTTACGGGGTGTTTCAAAAGTTCGTTCCGATTGTAAATTGTATTTTGAACAAAGTATTTAATGCTTCCTGAGGCAAATGTAAACTGATTAAGGTAGGAAATTTATCTAAATAACCGTTCAAGGCAATTTTAAACTAAAATTTGAAGAAATTATGACATTTTTTAAATTTTTTCCCCAAGTGTGCAGGTACGCGAATTTTTTCTCGCCATGTTTTTCCTGTCCATTTTGTAGGTTTCCTGTTTTCGTTTTTGTGGCGTTTTCTTTTGTTTTCTCTACTCTTTCTCAAAAATGAAGGCGTACACTGTTTGTGCTAGAGCTCAGGCATCTATTTTTTACGTACTCTGTCCATTTAGTCAAAGAAATTGTCAAATTGTTGAGGAAGTCTGAACGATGAGAGAACAAGTGGTCAAAAGTAAAGACCTTCCAAGACAAACCAAGGAGTAGATGGCTAGTTTTCTTTTTTACAAACTGTGTGAAAAATGTTATCGAAAAAGCTGTAAATATATGCGTAATACTTCAACAAGACTGCAAGGTAAAAAGAAAACTTCAACTTCACAGTATCAAAGTTTCGAGCACAATGGTATGGAAATAAGTGAGTAATGTGACCAACAAAGGTTGGAAAGCCTTGAAGAGAAAAAATTATTCTCATGCCATGCAGGCATGGCATCAGAAGAATTTGCAAACTTCATACCAAAGGACGACCGGCCGGCAAACTCACATGATGCGAACCCTCTAGTAACCATCTGGATTATCGTTGACGAGACAACATACAATTAGATCCAGCCCCCAAAACACTGGACTAGCTAAGACAGCGACCACGCTTCACCTGGGAAATTGTGAATTTAGACACGCTATGGGAGCTCGTACATTCTATACCTCACCGCTTAGAAAATGTCAGAAATCATAAAGGAAGACATTCTGGTTGCTAATATTTCAGTTAGTCAATGTTAAATGAATAATGAATAACATGCTTAGGTTTACCAAAGTTATCTTTAATAATCAGTGAAATTTAAGTGAAGAAAAGATCGGAACGAACTTTTGAAACACCCTGTAATGTAGCGCTGCTTAGTTTCCCTGGTCCACGTGGGAGATACGAAAGTGGAGGAGCTCTGAACCTAACAGGGACGCTTTAACGGAACATAATATTCACTCTGTGATTGAGGATAAAATTGCAATATAGCAGCAATAGTCTTGTTCTTCCCCGGTATTCTTGTTCTTCTTCTTGCAAAAAATACACTATACTGTACACTGATCCGCCACAACCACTCCCGGAATATACTCAGTCGTATCCTATAAAAAGTATCCTATAAAAAGTAAACATTCGGGAAAATACGCGCAATTTTCCTTTATAACGTCCCATTTTTAATCGAATGAATGCCAACTTCGACCATCGAACCTAATCGAACTCAATCAAAGTTCGATTGGGTTTGATTTAATAACTATTTTTTTTTTTGCGAGTTCTATTGTGTTCGATCACCGAACTTAATCGAACATTATCGGCCGATTAAAAACGTTCTATTCAGTTCCAGTGGTTCCGCCGGGATTGGTAGAGGAAAGTTTGAAAGCAGATTTCATCATCCTCCGACTTGTAGCAACCAGCTTAACATGACTTTTAGAACAACTGACAATCAGTCCATTGTCACTGAGAACCGTATTTATAAAATAATGGAATTCTCTTTAAAGGACAAGAAACGCGGGAAAACACCAGAAGTAAAAGTTCAATCACAGAGTCAGATATGGATGCGTTTTGTTGTATTTTGTTAGTAACCGGGGACCGTTTTTCATTGATCTGATCAAAGTTCGTGGTTTTCACTCCACCCCGGCGCTCCACACCCGCCTCGGGCTTGGCCTTGCTTGCTTGAAAAACTCGAAAAAATAACTCATGGGGCTGTAGCCTACAGGAATATGGCCAACGAGAACAGCCCTCACTACACCAAACACGTTTCTTGTTGTCTATCCCTAACCTTCCATCACTTCCATCGGAAAAACGATTTGCACATAGAAGGAAGAGAGGCTACATAAAAGTAAATGCGCTAAAAGTACAGTAATTGAATTCCTTGAAACTACCAAACAAACAAACAAGTAAAAAAAAACCCTAGCTCACATTCTTCTCCTAACCCTCCCAGCCATGTCATCCAGCTCACAATCTCCGACGATCTCCGACGATCATCCTCGACGGACCTCCGACGGACCACCTGCGTGTTTTTGTACTCTCCCCAGGATTCTCTCACAATTCAAAATTAAGATGGCGGCGGATGTGTGAATCTGTGAATCCTCCAGACAGGCCATTTCTTGGTTGCATTTTCCCTCGTGTGATTTGATCAAGGCGGAAATGTCTTGTTACTTAAGGTAAGACAAGCTTTCAGTACATTAAGAATACGTTAGTCACACAGGTTACACAGGACATTGCCGTCCTCTTGCGAATCTTTCAGTGACACTGCAATGGTTTTTGAAGGTAATACAGATCGTGATCGCATCGATCACTTGATTTAAACTGCATTCGGCATTTAGTCAAGCATATCATTCCGATTGCAGCGTAACTGGGCCGATAAACCAATTTATTTCTGATCATTTTACACGCCCTGTAAGCTTCGGAAGTTGATCTAAAATGTGCGAACGTAGAAGTGTCCTTCATTGCACTTTGACTGAAAATAAAATAATGTTCTAGGGAGAAACTGTTCGTTCTTCTAAGGGCATCTCTTACTTTAAACAAAACAGCAGATTTTATCCCGTGTAATTTTCTGATCAACTCTTCACTGTAATATATTAGTCAGGTCTCTTAAGCTGCTTAAGGTCAGGATCGTTACAGAGCTGACAAAAGCACCAAACTTTGCACATCGATAGCTTATTGCAGTACCAGGAATATTAGAGGGGGTGCCCAATGCAAATATGCCACTGAAGCGTGCTTAACGGGATTTAATTATGGTAAATTTCACCTGGTGGGATCCCTGTGGTGCTTTGATTGAAAATTGTTATTTAATACCTTAAATCACTCAGAATGCTCTTCTCATGTTGTGAACAACAATTTCACTCGAACATCTGGCATTCCCATCCATTATTAGCTTATTGATTGTATAATTAAGTTGATTATTACTGTGCCCTTAAAGCAAGTCCACAGTCCGCCCACATTTTCATAAGTCATTTCTAAGGTGGCCTCGTCTTTGCTTCAAAACTTGCAAGTACTCAGCTTCTTGGGTTCTCTTCTCCTTTTCTAATGTACTTCGATTAGAGGAGGCCTTTTTGTATGGCTTAAGCCTTATTTATCAAGTATTACTTGTCGTTACACGTCACTTTAAGCTAAAGAAAGCGTATGGCATAGCGATTCACACACAAAATTTCAGAAAAAAGAAATTCTCAAAAAGTCTGTTGTATCACATATTATCAGGGATTTATGACAGCTGTTCATGAAGAGCAAATAACGAAATGACAGAACCCAAAATAGTTCTTTCCTAGGGAGGTAATTTATTTTTCAGCTTAACATAGGCCTGGATGCCTTTCAGTCTCTCTTTATCAGCTGGACGCACGTGCATGTTTTGACAGAGAAGCAAGCATCGTGGCACAAGTCATATCATTTACAATTCCCGAAGTTTGTCTAAGCTTTACAAAAGCAAAAACAATCAAAAAAGAATCTGGTCTCATAAACGAAAAAAAGAAACAAGTTAGCCCAAGCTTCAAAAAACAACACAGTTTATTATGAAGCCTCTACATTTGGCACTGAAGCACTCATGTCCAAAAATAATAACAGCTTATCAAGTCGCAAAAGTGAGACTCAAGTGGTACAAGATTGACTCAAATGATAAATGGTGAATGGTTTAACTGCTGAAACTGTAGAAAGGGAGCCGGGCTAACTTTTAGGGCCTGTTTACATAGAGGAGAGAGACCTCAGGTAGGCATTGTAACCCACTTAGGTGGGGTAACCCGCCTGTCCATATAATCTGTCATTTTAATTTGATCACGTTTACATGATAGGTGGGGTGACCCTGCAAGGTGGGTAGCCCGGTCTGCCACACCAGGTAACCCTCTCAGCTGAGGTCAAATTTTGCTTTGTCAGCGTTTCAAGGTGAGGTAACCCAGGCTAGTCGGGGTCGGATTTGTGATACATCAAATTTGCGTAAACTTCACTTTGGCGCTGGGTGGCTTCACATAACTATTAAAGGTAAAAATAGAAAGCCACAACACTGAAGGTTGCAGCAAGAGCAGCAAGTGAGCGTAGACGTGGTTTGCCAGCACTTTCTTGTTTTTCGTGTTTAGCGACCATTCAATAATCTTGAGACAATGTACCCCAGGATGGCGGGGTTGTAAGATTGCATGTAAAGGAGGGTTATTTTTTTACGCCACCTACCTGGGGTCCCCCACCTTTATGTTAACAGGCTTTAAGTCTCAGGAACCGTGAAACTGGTAATAAACGGTATACCTAACTAGCTGTGGTACTACTTCCATCTTCAAGAACGTCAGCATGGCAGCCAAAGGAGCCATTATATCAGTGTAACACGAGTATTAGATTGCGGTTGTTTCATGCGTCTCGTTTTGTGATTTTTTTTGTGTTCGTTTTTGTCACCATCTCTAAATTTCAATCATGTTCAAAACACCTCTACTAACAAAATATTTCGTAAAGCTCTTTTAAATGATATTCAGCAATAAAAGCAAGGTGTGACCAGGAGCCGATTTGTAGGCTCCTGGTGTGGCAACATAGGCATAAGTGAATGCAAAGTTTTGTGGTATTTCATCTGTCAGAAATCCGTTTGAGTGATCAAAGTTGGGGCTGATGGGCTTCTTTATCATAACCACTACATCATTGTAAGGGACCAGGCCATAATTATTGTTGACCCTTGCTTTTTTTGGTATTTCTTTAATTTTCCACAGCATTATTTTGTGAAAAGTTGGTCACTGAATTGCTCTTGAGGAATTCATGATCGTAAGATTTTGTAACCACAAGGTATTCGCCTAATTGCATCAAACAAATTGCATTCATTTTCATAAATGATGCATCATTGGTTGGCTAAAAGAGGCCTTGTTCCTGTAAATTTCATCTCTTCTGAAGTTAGTTTGTTTGTAAATTGCAACGCACGACCTTCTTTTTTGGAAAGATCGTATAGACCTATCATTAAGACTCTGGTGCAAGGACTCTGAACTGAATGAGCTGCTTACAGGTGTCTAGGCATGCAGGGACCTCATACACTTCTTTTTAAATGCAAATGTGTAAAAAATAGTGTTAAAAATTCCTGGAGAGGCATGTTTTACAACCTCGTCCCCAGGGCTTAATAAAAAGGTAGAAAAAGGTAAAGCGATCATATTTTACGTCAATAACTCGTGACGGTGATAGTAACTAATAAACTTGAGGTTGACGGTGCGCTCCTTTTACCCCCCTCTCTCCATCAATGCTCCGTTTTAAGGGTACTTAAAGCTAGTCAAAGCTACACAGAAAGGAGAGAAGTTGAAATAAGGAGGTGTTGACACTGGGGATCGAACTCGGGACCTCGCGCACCGAAGGCTGCACATTAACCAGCTGTGCTACCCTTGCTCCTCCTTTTCCCCCTGAGGACAAGGTTGACATCTTTTAATCATTATCTCAAGGAAAGGGTTACCAACGAAGCAAATTATAATCTAATCTTAGTTGCACAATTACAAAGTGGGCGCGTTGTCAGTTACGTTTCATGAGGTCGTTCATGTGGCATGTCAAAATTTAACGATTCTATCGTTTAGGATGTGATGCATTTGGGTTTTATGTTATTGTATGACATCTTTGAAAGCTGGCTTTGTGATCTGCTTAAATTCAATTCAATTCAAGTCTAAAAATTCAAGTCTTAGTAGAAATGCCGTGTCCAAACTCGACGAAATACCGATACCGAATTCTATGATTGGTCACGTTTAAGCTGTACCCATCTCGGGAGTTTGCCACCTCAAGCATGTATGCACCAGAAATCAACTTTAGACATCGGGAGAAAACATGAGAAGACCTTTTATTGATCGGTAGAACGATTGAAAAGCTCGGTCATTACCATTAAGTCTAAAGTCTAACTTTTATTAACCTGTTTAGCTTACTGTGGTTCGTTCTGAACATTGTATTAACCTGTATTAGACAGGAGAGTGAAATTGAATGGTACTGCAATACCATGAACGATCTTCTTTTGCCGAATACCGTAAACGAAAAGGATGAAAAACCGCATACCGCAGGGCTAGATGATACCGCAATACCGCATATTAAAATCAAAATTACCGAAATACCGCTTGAAAAAAAGCTCAATACTGCAATACCGTAAACCCGCATGTCCCCCTCCGCACAGTGAACATGGCCACACTTACCGTGTGGAGACTGGGCACTAGTCAGTATTATGTACATGTAAAACTATTTTGAATAGTGTAACAACAACTAAACATTACCAAATTAAAAACATAAAAATTTGAAACAAATGTTTTTTAGCCAAATCAAACAAGAAGAGTACTTGCCATAGGGAACCCAATCTGCTATTATAGGTGAAAGTTAACCCCCCCCCTTTTATCTGTAATTAGGACCATTTGTAACGGGCACCCCCTCCAGTATTAATCGGTAGGTGCTAAGGAAGCTCTGTGCCAAATATGACACTTTTGTCACGTCTGTAACGATCCGACCTATATTTTGCACTAAGAGACCTGACTATATCTCTTAGTAGTGTATGTAACATCACTCCTTCCAGCCTGAGTGATTTTTATCTCATCTCACAACAAATCAAGTGACTTCGCTTCAGGGGTAGGAAACTACAATCGGCAACAAAATTATTGAGGCGTTTTACTCAACTAGGGTAATAAGTACAGAGAAGAAAAGAATCTACCTCCCTCCCCACTCGCCTTCATTCAAAGTTGCAGTTTTTGTTGCTTTAACTGTAGGTAGCTCGAACAGCGGCACAACATTGCATGGAGGGATGGTGGAGCGAAAGCTTTATTTCCCATTTAGAAGTCAGTAAAGCATAGGCTTTAGGGCAAGGTGTCTCAACTACATTGTAATTTTGTCGCCGATCGTAGCTGTAGATTGTAGCAATACACACTTACCTCCACTTAAGGAAAGGATAAGAAAAATAGAGCAGTTTATTGAATGTTGATTAATTATGCAAAAATCGTAATTGAATATGATTTATGCACAAATGTTCCTTTTTTTCACTCTAATGAATGGATCTTTGTGCTATTGATTGCCGTTTCATGCAATTAAACACATATTTTCTCGTAATAAACAGCAAAAGGTGTAATTCTCATAAACGTTTCTTTTGATGATGCATGGATGTCGTTAGGAGAAAATTAATGTTGGTCACTATTGGGACTTAAAGCGAAATTTGTTGTATCCCGCTGTGCATTTTGCATATTTTGGGTTTTTGTTTTCCCTCAATCATCTTAGCGGACCTCTTAGGAAATTTATATTTACTTGCATGAGTTCAAAAGGTCATGGTTTGTCATTTGTGATTGGTGGATCTCGATCTGTTTTGTTTGTTTCCTATTACAAGGCTTGTTGCTTTGTGGTCGTCCTGTTTTGGGCAATAATCGACTAGTTAAGTTTGCTTCGCAAATTTTTATGATCTTTCTCAATCTTGTCACTTGCAAGAATAAAGCAGTTTCTGCGTCCTTCCTTCTACAAAAAATCTACTCACCATCGCGATTTCCTTCACTATTCTTGAGCAGTCGGAGTCATTCTCAGCCAAGCTGGGCGAACACATTACATACTGATTTGCTTTAACCTCGCCTCACTAAAATGCATGATTGACAGAACAGAAAAACCCAAAATCCGTTTTAAGTTTGCAAAATGTGCAGTGCAATACAACAAATTACCCTGTAAAGGGTTAACAAAGTGTCTATGTCTATGTCTAAATGATCTTGAATAACCGCCATGAAAATTTTCAAAAACTGATATGTTTTTGCAAGCCTTTCAAGAGTTTCGACAAAACATACAGCAAAAAATAGGGAGGTGTAGATAACGCTGAATAAATGATAAAATAAACCTCTAATTGTACCATTTGTGTTCGTAGCAAGATAGAAAACACTACAAACTTGCAAAATTAAAAATAAAATACTTTTTGTCATGTGTAAATGAAATCTCTTGCTTTTCCATGCATCACGACTTTGTATCATTTTACTACATGCAATAGTGACGTAACATTTCTAATGCTGGGGAAAAGGTCTTGATTTTATCATTGACAGTTTTTCTAAGGCTATAAAATTCATTTGACTCCATTTTGAGACAAGCAACTTGAACTACAGTCTGCAGCAAGACAAGTGCTTATTTGTTTCCGTTTTATTGGCGGAAATATTTTTTTCCTATGGCTGATGACCAAACATTTTCTGTTTTTGCTTCAAAAGTGCAGAATGAGAGGGGAATTTTGTTGTTAATTGAACAGAAGTTATCCTGAGAATTATGATTTTCATGCACCTGTTCAGGCTTTTTGTTTCAAATTCTGGTTGTCCATAAGTAAAATTGTAGGAGCCTGTGGTGACCAGGCCCCCATTAGGCGGTAGCCTTGACACTGCCTAATGCAAAGCAAGTAAACACATACCTTGAGAAGTATAAAAACAGTTTTGATAGTTCAAAAGTTAGACTTCATACAAAAATACTGAGTCAACTTTCCAAACTTTCAGATAAACCTTTCGCTGTTCCTTTTTTTTAACTTTGCATATGCACTTGTACATGCAAGTGCTCTTGGCTTTACCATTTGTTGTTTTTGCGAATGGTTGTTTTTATTTTTCTTGAGAAATAGCCTGCAGTGCAGGCGTTTTCTTTGAATGCGCAATTTGCTTGCGAAAGCACCATGTTGAAACTTCCCTAGGAGAGGAGGAGATGGGGCGAGTCAAAGGGAGCAGGGAGGGGGTGGCGCATCCTCGGAGACCCAGGGGCAGATAAAGGGGGTGAGGGAAATTCTAAACGGGCGGAAAAATATATATGGAACAATGAAAAGTAAAGAACAGCGAGAAGAGCCCCTGGGAACAATGTCTTACCAGACCAGTTCCAAATGGTCGCTGCTGTTCTGGCTTCTGATTGGTGCCAGAAAACCAATCAGAAGCCAGAATGGCGGCGACCGTTTGGAAATGGTCTGGTAAGACATTGTCCCCAGGGGCTCTTCTCCCAGTTCTGTACTTTTCTTCGTTCCATATATATTTTTCCGCCCGTTTGACTTTCCCTCGTCCCCACTATCTTCCCCTGGGTCTCCGAGGATGGGGGTGGCGAGAGAGAAGAGAAAACGTCTGCCCGAAAACACTGTTAAAATGAGAAACACCCCCTAATTAGACATGCATGACCGCTCTTCCAGAAATGAGTAGCCAACAATAACAAAACAACCAAACAGTCGCTACAGTACGAAGACTCACATTGCCTTAAGAAAAACGAGCTGGAGTTAATCATTGTTTTTATTTTGACTGAGTCACAATGCAATTCTCTACAGCTGATGAAGCTTCAGTTTAAGCTGCAATTCCTCTCTGTAAATCGCTATCCATGGGAGTTTAACATCCTGCAAACAATTTAAAAAACTAACGAGCTGGCCCAGCGTGATACAACATTGCAGGAAAACATCACATTTTCAGACTAGAAAGAAAATCGCTTAGTTATTCAGATCCTGAAGCACTTTAGACTAAAATAAAGAACCTAACAGCCTTATTTAGCGACAAAAAGAGCTTTACGCTTCAAAAGAGGACAAAGAAAATGCTCTTGCATCAGAGGGCAAATCATGAAGACCAGAAATTCAAAAGACACAGAAAATCAATAAGCGTGTCATGACCTCTCAGTGTGAAACAAGCGGATAAAATCACACTTTTACCCTTGCACCTACTGTGAGGGTTAATATTTCCACTCTCCCCAATCTTCCACTGTCAAAATCAAAGATGGCAACTACAGCAATATTACGAACACGAACAAGGTTTCGCCCACCCAAAATACGCCTGCACTGCAGGCTTCTTGAGAAATAAATCGTGTCTCAAAGTCTGTTCAAGTGGTGAATATAAAAAATGCTTGTTTCTCAAAACTGAAGACTCAATGTTTGCGTTTTAAAACTCAATTTGTTGTAGTTAATAAAAATAGGTTTAGGTACACTGGCTGTAGGGGTCTGTTCTTGAAATACAATAAAGCAAATAATACCTCTAGTACAGAAAAAAAGGGGATTGGCCCTTGAATGTTAGTTGATCCTTTACTACTGTATGCTACTATTTATGCCCATGAGTTTGATAAATAATAAATTTAAAGATCATTGATCAACAGATTAGTGCATTGTCTGTCGTGAGCTAGAAGTGTGACACATCAATAAAGTTACTGTCTTTATTAATGGGCCCCTATAAATGTAGCTTCTTATTTGAGGAGCATGAAGGGCTCCCAAAAATTCTCTTAGCCACCAGCCTTGCTTTAAGGTTAGTGCAAATGTTCACTCGCACTTCCTAACCATTGGTTACCACTAGTTATAGCAGTTCTAAATTTGATTTTGGTTTGAGATAAATGCATTTCAAACTGGCAAAACCAGTGGTTCCATAGCTGACTGTGTCCCTTAATTTAATCTATATATTAAGGACAAAAATCAGTTTTCTAAAAAATTTATTATTAGTTATTCTTTTTAAGTGTGACTTGAAATCATATTCATTATTTTAGCTAATATATGCGCCCCTCTTTCTTGGAAAAATGGCCACCTACAGAATAACAACAAGCATGGCCACTGGACTCTTACCAAGAGTCAACTTCATTCCCAGGGTCTCTCATCTTCTCGCCCAAGCAAGAGAGGAGAGACCCTGGTTCTCCTCTCTCGCTTGGGCGGGAAGATGAGAGACCCTGGGAATGAGGTTGACCAAGAGTAAGAGAATAAGCCAATTCCTAGAATAAACCCTGTTACTCTTTAGACCAAATAAATAAGTCATAGATGCGATAACCCTTTAAGCTTCAAGATCAACATGGAAATTCTCCACACTGGCCTCCATACAATTTTTGAAAAATTGGTTGAGAGAATTTGTTTAAAGATCAAAGCATATTTCCTTGAAGTGATCATTTTATTAATTCTCATAACCTTTCTACTTGATTATATACTGATGTTGTGTGAGGCAAAAATTGATGTTGATCACTCCTGGGACTTAAAGGGATAAATAAAATCACGACTGTAACACTTCATGTGGACTGATCTTGTATGGAAGTTTTGATTTATTTTTGATCTTCCAATTTCATGTGCTTGAGTGTTTCCACTTTGCATTCCAGTGTTATTATGAAGAATCAATTAATCAACCCTTTAGGTGATCATTTCAAGAAATAATATTAAGAAATCCCCAAGCGCTTTACATTTTGAGAAATTTGGAAAAGTTCGAAAAATTCCATAAAATACATTTTTTAATTCGCGAAATTGCTGCAAATTTCAACAATTTTTAGGGAAGCAGTACAAGCGTGCAAAAGCTCCTATTGAGTTGATGTTGCACATGCAGTTACTAGTTACCCAAAGCCTTAAGACTGCATAAAAGTGTCTCGCAAAATAACTTTTGTAATACAGTTTTGGGCTTTTATTGCTTGCACCTTGATTGTGTGTTGTTTTGGTGGTCAAAATAACGCCCGACTTTAACCGCAAAAAGTCAATCCTGGTATGTCTCAAATTTAAAATAATATGATTATACTACATGAAAGAGCTGTGATTCTTTTAACTAGATCTGAAGTTTTAAATATAACGACTCGGGCCACCGTAAGCGACAAGAACGTGAAATGTAAACAAAGCGAAAACCGTGTAAACAAAGGAGAAAATAACACCAAAGTTATTTCTAGTCCACCAAAGCGTAAAGAAATGATGAAAATTTCGGTATCTAAATAGGTATTGCTATCTGAAAAACTAAAAAGGCGAAATTGTCTGTCGAAAAATATAAAAAGAAAAAAATATATCCTGAAAAACGAGCAACTGAGAATCGCGTCGGGTGACCATTTAATTCTGAACTCAGAAGTAAAATTGCTTCAAGATGGTCAAGTCCAAAAGGCTTCAAGAACTGTTTTCGAAATGGCCCAATAAACTATCGATGAACTATGCCAGATGATAGATTTACTTTGGTAAAAATGAACATAACACGAAGTCGGAATCATGATTACAAATGACACTTATACAAAATGAGTTTTAAATGCAAGTCCTGGATTTTTCAAAGTTACTTTTCAGTGTCCATTTTTTTCTCATGATGCAAGGCTCTGCATCTCACCTTCATAACATGATTTGAAAACTAGCAAATAACTGAAGGTTCAATATTCTGCATATTTGTTAAAAGGTTGCAGCCTACAGTTGGTTCCCAAATGAGACCTGTAACTTGATATCATGTTATGTGTATGGTAATTTGAATAAATTACCCTGGAGCCCCTTCACGCAATCTTCCACAGGGTATAAATGACACATGCTATCATCTTTAGCTCCAGCAAAGTCAAATGTAATGTAAAGCACTTAGGGATTTCTTAATGTCATTTCTTGAAATAGATCACCTGAATGGTTGTTTGGGTGATATAAGCCAAAATTCAAATTTTTAGAACTGATTTGATTTTCCCGATATTTTCTGCCATTGGCTCTTAAGGTGGCTCCGTAATAAATATGGGCGCATATAGCTGTGATGAAGGTTTCGTCATAGCTTTTTTGTTTTTGATGCGATGGCTGAGAAACTTTGCAAAGAATAACAGATATCATCCGGCAATAATATGAAATATTCCAGTTTCATTGATGGTAAATATATTTTGCTCAATTAGGGCTTAAAAGGACCCCTCTGTTCAAAGAAAATCGCGTCTAGTAATAATATTTGCTGATATTTTTTTTTACCGAAATTTCTGGTATCGGCTTTAATTGACATAATAAATATGCCAGAGGAATTTCAGAAAAATCATTGGAGCAGAAGTCCGTAACTAAAAGTCGCTGAAAATTCAGCTGTAAAATTGTTTTGGAATTTCAAAAATAAATTACTATCAGGTAGAAGGAGCCACCAGTTTGAATTTTCGGGACAAGTAAATTCAATGTTTGCTAATTCTGAAAACAAAAGCTGATTGCCTAAAGTGCTATTCTTTAAAAGGTACTGTTTACTTTGAGAACCACTATAAATTGCTCCAAACCTTGCTCTGAAGTTGAATGACTTGTTTTTTAAAATATCCCTTGGCAGTTTTGGCTCAAACTCCTGTTGCATATATTTTGATGTATTGCAATGCATTTTCAAAGACTTTTACTGCTGTTCATTGCTTCCAACTCAGGAAAAAGGTATTGAGATTGGACGCTACCTCGTATCAGATCTCAGATAGAACTGTCAAGCACCTTTGCTTATGACTACAAAAAGAGCACGAGTGGCAGTTCTACGAAGAATTCACACCTCACCCAGGGGGGACGAACGACAATGATGCCCATGCCTGTGAACCGAATTAAATCAGAGTGCAAAATAAAATTATTGCAAACATAATGCCCATGAATAAATTTACAACTCTGAAATTTCTGTTACTCCTTCCGTCAATGAATGGGTAGTTTTTTCTTGATTATTATGTTTTGCTCTGCAGTACATGCTTATACAGATCGGTTCGCAAACATGGGCACCATTGTCATTCATTCCCCCTAGCTGAGGTGCGAATTCCTTGCAGAGCTACCGCTTGTGCACATTTTCTGGTCAAAAACAGGGGTGCTGGACAGTTCTATCTGAGCTTCGATACAAGGTAGCTTACAATCCCAATACCTTTTTACTGAATTGGAAACAATGTACAGCAGGAAAAGCTGTTGAGGATGCATTGCAATACAACAAAATGTATGTAGCAGGAGTTTGAACCAAAACTGCCAAGAGAGATTTTAAAACTGTTGAGGCACAACTCATTCGACGTCAGAGCAAGGTTTGGAGCAATTTATAGTGCTTCTAAAACTAAAAAGTACCTTTTAAAGAATAGCACGATAGGCAATCAGCTTTTGTTTTCATTTGTAGCAAACACTGAATTTACTTGTCCCAAAAATTCGAACTTGTAGCTCCTTCTACCTGATAGTCATTTATTTTTGAAATTCCAAAATAATTTCACAGCTGAATTTTGAGCGACTTTTAGTTACCGACTTCTGCTGCAACAATTTTTCTGAAATTTCTCGACATATTTATTATGTCAATGAAAGATGATACCAGAAATTACAGTTAAAAAAAATCAGCAAAATTTTTTACTAGACACGATTTTCTTTGAACACTAGGGTCCTTTTAAGCACAAGTTTCTCAAAAAATATTTACCATCAATGAAATCGGAATATTTCGTACTATTGCCGAATGATATCTGTTGTTCTTTGCAAAGTTTCGCCTCCATCGCTCTAAAAACGAAAAAGTTATGACGGAAAATTTGTCACATCTAAATGCTCCAATATTAATGACGGAGCCACCTAAAATAACCCTCCCCCTCTCTAATAATCCTCCCCCTCTGTTAATCTCCCCCATCAAACATGCTTGAAATGCCAATGCCTCCAGGGAGCTTGATAGAGGATTTATAGTTATACAGGTTTCACTATATTGTCTGTATGAATGCTGTATGATGAACCTTAATTACCATTATTTTAAAAGTGTGTTATTTTACTAACCACAAGGAACTCTCAGATCCAAATACAAAGTCAGCAAATAATCAACTGACCCATATTGATGGATTCTCTAGTTCGAAGGGTTCATGTAAAATTTTAGGTATGTAATCAGCTGGTTTATGGAGTGGAACCACTTTTTCTTGAGTGGGTGTCTTAAAAGTTTTCTAATTTTCCGCATGTCCCTGACAACACCACCTTTAACCTACTCCCTTCAGGCCTCTCACCACCAAGGCGCAAAGTTTATGCTGGTGGCAACAAAACAAATAATGTGCTGCATTTAACTAATAATGCTTCTTCTTCCTTCCAAAGGTATCCTACCTATAAAACCTTTAAAGAACAGCAACCTCAATGTCCTTTAAGTGTCAGCAGTGTGGCAAGTGTTTCAGCGAAGCAGGACACCTAAGGACTCATGAAAGAGTTCACGCTGGGGAAAAGCCTTATGAATGTAAACAGTGTGGAAAGTGTTTTAGTGTAGCAGTTGCCCTAAGGAATCATAAAAGAGTTCACACTGGGCAAAAACCTTTTGACTGTAAACAGTGTGGCAAGCGTTTTAGTGAAGCAGGACACCTAAGGACTCATGAAAGAGTTCACACTGGGGAAAAGCCTTATGAATGTAAACAGTGTGGCAAGTGTTTTAGACAGGTAGGACACCTAAAGGGTCATGAAAGGGTTCACACTGGGGAAAAGCCTTACGAATGTAAGCAGTGTGGCAAGTGTTTTAGTGAAGCAGGACACCTAAGGACTCATGAAAGAGTGCACACTGGGCAAAAGCCTTATGAATGTAAACAGTGTGGAAAGTGTTTTAGTGTAGCAGCTACCCTAAGGAATCATGAAAGAGTTCACACTGGGGAAAAACCTTTTGATTGTAAACAGTGTGGCAAGTGTTTTAGTGAAGCAGGACAACTAAGGACTCATGAAAGAGTTCACACTGGGGAAAAGCCTTATGAATGTAAACAGTGTGGCAAGTGTTTTAGTCAAGTAGGACACCTAAAGCGTCATGAACGGGTTCACACTGAGGAAAAGCCTCATGAATGTAAGCAGTGTGGCAAGTGTTTTAGTGTAGCAGGACACCTAAGGGCTCATGAAAGAGTTCACACTGGGGAAAAGCCTTTTGAATGTAAACAGTGTGGCAAGTGTTTTAGTGAAGCAGGAAGGCTAAGGAGACATGAAATAGTTCACACTGGGGAAAAGCGTTTTGAATGTAAAGAGTGTGGCAAGTGTTTGAGCGAAGCGGGAAGCCTAAGGAGACATAAAAGAGTTCACACTGGGGAAAAGCCTTATGAATGTAAACAGTGTGGCAAGTGTTTTAGTCAAGTAGGACACCTAAAGCGTCATGAACGGGTTCACACTGGGGAAAAGCCTCATGAATGTAAGCAGTGTGGCAAGTGTTTTAGTGTAGCAGGACACCTAAGGGCTCATGAAACAGTTCACACTGGGGAAAAGCCTTTTGAATGTAAACAGTGTGGCAAGTGTTTTAGTGAAGCAGGAAGGCTAAGGAGACATGAAATAGTTCACACTGGGGAAAAGCGTTTTGAATGTAAAGAGTGTGGCAAGTGTTTGAGCGAAGCGGGAAGCCTAAGGAGACATAAAAGAGTTCACACTGGGGAAAAGCCTTATGAATGTAAACAGTGTGGCAAGTGTTTTAGACAGGTAAGACACCTAAAGGGTCATGAAAGAGTTCACACTGGGGAAAAGCCTTACGAATGTAAGCGGTGTGGCAAGTGTTTTAACCAAGCAGTAAACCTGAGGAGTCATGAAAGATTCCACACGCAGGAAGGGTCACCTAAATTTTCCCAGAAAAACAAATGCCTGTCCAAACGATTGAAATCCTGTAAACGGAAGAGAGCAGGAAGTGAAAACGTTGATGTCAGGTTCACAGGCTTTACAGAGAACCAGCAGACACAGAGAGAAACCAGAAACAATGGTGTAACAGATGCACGATCAGTCATTATTGAGAAACACAGCTGTTGGATTTGTCAAGAGGAGATGAATAGTGAGGCTCTTCTTCTTCAACACTATGAAAATCATATGACCCATGTTTGTGACGATTATTCTTAAAGTTAAAAAAAAGCATTTTGGTCCTGTTCTTCTCTTTTGTTTGTTTTTGGTGCTTTGACAACATTTTTAAGTTTTCAACTCTAAAAGCAACTGTTTAAAGCTTGTTGTTTTCATACTTGTGGTTCATTCGATTTATATGATTATCAAGATGGAATAAACGATGAAAGAACAGCTTCTGTGTTAATTCTTCGGTGAAAGAAAAACTCGATTTAAATTTTATCTTAGTTGGTACTTATTTGTATGTGACCAGTTATAGAAGACTATGACTTCTCATGATACGAATGGAAAGAGACTTTTTACTTACAATGTAAAAAGATGCTTTGTTAGTTTCATCTATATTCTACAGTCTTGTATTTATAATGTTCTCATAGCTTTGGCTTGTGGAACTCTCCAGTTATTATAGTAACTGTTATTTAACAGTTAATGAATGAGGCAGAGGCTGAGTATCTTATGAAGAATTATGGAGATCTCGGAGGGTGTATAACACCCTCCTCGATCTCCATAATTCTTCATATGATATGAAAGCCGAATTCAATAACTGTTTTATTATTCATTCAAAATAATTCCTAGTTTAAAAACATAGCTATAACATGCTTACCTCAATCGATTCATCGATGTTCAGTTCATCTTCGATAGTGTACGTTTAGGTTTGTCCAGCTCCGCAAGTATTCTCCAAATGGCAGATGTCGCTCTTCGAGTTGTCTTCTTGCTGTTCTTGCCATGTTTTTAGCTTTTTTTTCGCCTAGTTCTTACTCTTGAAACGACTGAAATGTCCGCCATTTTTTCAAGTTCGCAACCAAAACAACTCCACCTCGTCCCCAGGTCTTCTCGGTTAACGGTGCCTTAACCCGCGAAAACGCTGCATTTTTGACGTCATTTCCTCGTTAAAGTCAAATTTCTTCCAAGTTTGGTCGTCAGTGACTGGTTATGGTGAATTAAACGTGTGCTTTTAGCCAATCAGAATTAATATTTTGAATGAGTAATAATTTCTGATAAAGAATCGAAATCACCTATTTTAAAATGCCTTTGGAGAATATTTATTGGTGTTAAAAGGCCTTGTGTATTAAGTCTGACAGTATAACGTGCCCCATTCCTGTAAGTTGCTTGATACTACTACAACTTTATGGTCAACTTGGTAATTCCAAGATAATAAAACCAAGTAATTGGTGGTTCAAATTCTATTCTTAATGTTTTTGATCTCTTGGCGAGTTTTGTTAGTCCTTGTCTGGTAACCACTCTGGCTGAGATCAAACCCACTTCACACCAATTTATCTGTTGTAGATAACTTAAAATTAAACTTTTCAAGCTAAATTGGAACTGTTTTTCTGATTATTTAAACATTGGCAGCAACAAACATTTTTTATTACACCATACAGTGCATGCCGTGTAAGGGATGCTATCGTATTTCTATCGTTTAAGCGTTTTCTTGTGGACAGGCGAAGACGATTGAAATACGTTGCTGTTTTGGGTTGCTGTTGTGTTCCTTTCGACCAATCGAAATCCGGATTTTCCGATCCGAAATTTGATTTTTCGTTGCATCAAGGACTAAATCAATCTAAGATTGCAATCTGAACTATCCACCTCTGTACTAGGTTCGTTCAGATTGGTATCTCAATCTGGTTTCAGATTTTCGTTCCATTTAACGATTTAAAGAAACTGCTTTTCGATCGCAAGAACGTGCTCGTTCATCAATAGACGTTAGTTCAGGCAACAGTTATTTATACTGCTCCTTTGTTCTATGCCGCTAAAGGATTGTGGTATATTAAACTTAAGTTCCACTGTAACTCTATATCCGTAAGGAAGCGAAAACGCTTGGATTTTCTCACCGATTTAAAGTTGTCCAATGTGTGTGTGTTTAGAGCCCAGTGGGGGGCGGGGACGGTACCCCGGAGTTTAAGTGACAGCGATGATCAAATAGGGGAAAAATCAAACCCCCCAAAAAAAATTTCTAGGGCTTCAAACAAAACCCAAAGAACTCCCTGGACCAAAATTTAACCCGCAAAAAAAATCTCGTGCCGAGCCATAAAAATTTCCAGGAAGCGTTAAATGATATAACAATCATAAATCTTCAGATACTTTTGAATACCCAAAAGAATCTCCACATAAATCAAACTGGCCAAAAAATACTTGCGAAAATTTTCACACTTAAACAAATCCCGGAATCGAAAGTTTCCCAAAAAATCCTTTGATCATCCCTGTCACTTGACATCCGGAGTACCCCCCCCCCCCATACTTGCTGTGGCTTAGAGCGCGCTTCTCAGCTCTTGAGAAATTGCAATTGTCTTCTAAATGTTCTTGAAGCAAATTCCAGATAATTTTAAGTTGACAAGTGGTAATAGCAAGAACCACCACTAGTTAAAGAGCAACGTTTCTTTCCATTTTTCCACTAAGAGAAGATGCTGAGTTTGGCGGAAATTTTTTAAATTGAGAATAAGATCAGAGCAGCAGAAGTACAAATGTTTGTTCCGGCTAGCACGAAAATCCAAACAATCTGGATTTTTTTGGACCCGTACTGTCCGGATATGAGGGTGTGATAACCAAGATTAGACAATTTTGTAATAGTGTACGCATAGTTTACGTTAGGTTTATAGAAAAAAAGCTTTGGTTTACCATGTTTATCACCGCCTCTCACCGTGTTTTTCTTTTTTCATCAATCTAGTATGATGACCTAAGAAGATTATAGCAAACCCAGTTTTACTAGTTATCTCTGATTCTCCGCATTTTGTAAAATAAAATTAAAAGAATTTTTAACCTATAGTTTCTGTTAAGTCTTAACACAAATATACTAAGAGACTTATAAGTCAATTCACAAAAAAAATTAAAATGTACAGATTGGACAGAGGATATTAAATAAGTGAATGTGACCATATCCGCTGAAAAAATGGCTAATTCAAGAAAATTAGTCAGCCAAAAAAGTTACAAAAATTCATCGAGATAAAAAAAGCTATAGAAATACCAGCCAAAATTTTTGAAAAATATATCCATCATCCGAACGTCAAGAGTCTATCAAGTCAAGCTCCTTAAAGAACTGTTCAGATTTAGTTTCTCTTACATACCCTGGATACTACTTCGTGCGCCTCGTTTTTTTTTTTTTTAATTCAAGTCTATGTAAGCTGGATTTGTCTGCATTCAGTATCAAACTGAAGTTACTGAAGTCGAACTGACCCATCTATGGCCTCCGTGGCAGGTCCTTGAAAGGGAAGGGAAAGTGGGTGTTTGGCGCGGCCCCCTGGCGTTTCTTCCGCGCCCATCACCCCCTTTCCCTTCCCTTTCAAACGCTTGCCACGCAAGCTAATCTGTCTATTTTGGCGTATTTTGATGAGGGAGTAGCCGTCTGTCTGTGCATGGGCGGCTGTCGATAAACCGTCTTTATTCTTTAGTGTCATGAAAACGATGATCCGGCATTTATGTCTTGCACTGTACTTGCTCCGATATTGGTCCCGGCGTAACCACTTGAACTGCCGTTCGGTATCGAACTTAATCGAACTCAATCGAAAAATTGGATTCGAGTACGTTCAGTAATCGAACACAGTCGAACCAAAAAAGTTCGTGAGAGTTCAATTTCCGCACTCAATCGAAGCAATCAAACTTTAATAAACGCTCTAATCTACACTCAAAATAAGCAAGAACAAAGCAACAAAACAACCAGATTATTTACGATCATGAAGCATAAATGTTCCGGGTTCATTGGATTCGCTTGATGGCTTTGTTTTACCGTAGCGCTGCTTAGTTTCCCTGGTCCACGTGGCAGATGCAAAAGTAGAGAAGGTCTGAACCTAGAAGGGACGCTATAAAGTAAAAAAGTCTTTAACGGACCATAATATTCAGTGTGATTGAGGATTATAGTCTTGTTCTTCCCGGGTGTTCTTCTTCTTGCAAAAAATACGCTATACTGTACACTGATCCAACACAACCACTTCAGGAATATACTCAGTCGTAGGACACCCTACAAAAAATAAAACATTCGGGAAGACACGCGCAATTTTCTTTATAACGTCCTATTTTTTAATCGAATGAATGCCAACTTCGACCATCGAACCTAACCGAACTCAATCAAAGTTCGATTTAATCACTAAATTTTTTTTGGTGAGAGTTCGATTTTTTCCGATCACCGAACTTAATCGAACATTATCGGTCCATTAAGTTCGATTAAAAAACGTTCGCGGATTTACTTCAAGTGGTTACGCCGGGATTGGTAGAGGAAAAGTATGAAAGCAGATTTTATCATCCTCTGACTTGTAGCAACCAGCTTAACATAACTTTTAGTACAACTGACAATCAGTCCATTGTCACTGAGAACCGTATTTATAAAATAATGGGATTCTCTTTGAAGGACAAGAAACGCGGGAAAACACCAGAAGTCAAAGTTCAGTCACAGAGTCAGATATGGATGCGTTTTGTTGCATTTTATTAGTAACCGGGGACCGTTTTTCATTGATCTGATCAAGGTCCGTGAATTCACTCCACCCCGGCGCTCCACACCCACCTCGGGCTTGGCCTTGCTTGCTTGAAAAACTCGAAAAAATAAGTCATGGGGCTGTAGCCTACAGGAATATGGCCAACGAGAACAGCCCTCACTACCCCAAACACGTTACTTGTTGTCTATCCCTAACCTTCCACGTCACCGGAAAAACGATTTGCACATAGAAGGAAGAGAGGCTACATAAACGTAAATGCGCTAAAAGTACAGTAATTGAATTCCTTGAAACTACCAAACAAACAAACAAGTAAAAAAAACAACCTTAGCTCCCGTTCTTCTCCTAACCATCCGGCTCACAATCTCCGACAATCTCCGACAATCATCCTCGACGGACCCTCGACGGACCGCCGGCGTGTTTTTGTACTCTCCCCAGGATTCTCTCACAATTCAAAATTAAGATGGCGGCGGATGTGTGAATCTGTGAATCCTCCAGACAGGCCATTTCTTGGTGCATTTTCCCTCGTGTGAGTTGATCAAGGCGGAAATATCTTGTTACTTAAGGTAAGACAAGTTTTCAGTACATTAAGAATACGTTAGTCACACAGGTTACACGGGACATTGCCGTCCTCTTGCGAATCTTTCAGTAACACTGCAATGGTTTTTGAAGGTAATACAGATCGTGATCGCATCGATCACTAGATTTAAACTGCATTCGGCATTTAGTCAAGCATATCATTCTGACTGCAGCGTAACTGGGCCGATAAACCAATTTATTTCTGATCATTTTACACGCCCTGTAAGCTTCGGAACTTGATCTAAATGTGCGAACGTAGAAGTGTCCTTTATTGCACTTTGACTGAAAATAAAATAATGTTCTAGGGAGAAACTGTTCATTCTTCTAAGGGCATCTCTTACTTTAAACAAAACAGCAGATTTTATCCCGTGTAATGTTCTGATCAACTCTCCACTGTAATATATCTCTTGGTAGTGTATGCAACATCACTCCTTCCAACCTGAGTGATTTTTATCTCATCTCACAACAAATCCAGTGACTTCGCTTCAGGTGTAGGAAACTACAATCGGCAACAAAATTATTGGAGCATTTTACTCAACTAGGGTAATAAGTACAGAGAAGAAAAGAATCTACCTCCCTCCCCACTCGCCTTCATTCAAAGTTGCAGTTTTTGTTGCTTTAACTGTAGGTAGCTCGAACAGCGGCACAACATTGCATGGAGGGGGTGGTGGAGCGAAAGCTTTATTTCCCATTTAGAAGTCAGTAAAGCATAGGCTTTAGGGCAAGGTGTCTCAACTACATTGTAATTTTGTCGCCGATCGTAGCTGTAGATTGTAGCAATACACACTTACCTCCACTTAAGGAAAGGATAAGAAAAATAGAGCAGTTTTTTGAATGTTGATTAATTATGCAAAAATCGTAATTGAATATGATTTATGCACAAATGTTCCTTTTTTTCACTCTAATGAATGGATCTTTGCGCTATTGATTGCCGTTTCATGCAATTAAACACATATTTTCTCGTAATAAACAGCAAAAGGTGTAATTCTCATAAACTTTTCTTTTGATGATGCATGGATATTGTTAGGAGAAAATTAATGTTGGTCACTATTGGGACTTAAAGCGAAATTTGTTGTATCCCGCTGTGCATTTTGCATATTTTGGGTTTTTGTTTTCCCTCAATCATCTTAGCGGACCTCTTAGGAAATACATATTTACTTGGACGAGTTCAAAAGGTCATGGTTTTTCATTTGTGATTGGTGGATCTCGATCTGTTCTGTTTGTTTCCTATTACAAGGCTTGTTGCTTTGTGGTCGTCCTGTTTTGGGCAATAATCGACTAGTTAAGTTTGCTTCGCAAATTTTTATGATCTTTCTCATTCTTGTCACTTGCAAGAATAAAGAAATGTCTGCCTCCTTCCCTCGACAAAAAATCCACTCACCATCACAATTTCCTTCGCTATTCTTGAGCAGTCAGAGTCATTCTCAGCCAAGCTGGGCGAACACATTACATTGTGATTTGCTTTAACCTCTCCTCATTAAAATGCATGATTGATGGAACAGAAAAACCCAAAATCCATTCTAAGTTTGCAAAATGTGCAGTGCAATACAACAAATTACACTGTAAAGGGTTAACAAAGTGTCTATGTCTATATCTGTGTCTAAATGATCTTGAATAACCGCCATGAAGATTTTCAAAAACTGAAATGTTTTTGGAAGCCTTTCAAAAGTTTCCACAAAACGTACAGCTAAAAATAGGGAGGCATAGATAACGCTGAATAAATGATAAAATAAACCTCTAAGTGTGCCATTCGTGTTCATAGCAAGATAGAAAACACTACAAACTTGCAAAATTAAAAATCAAATACTTTTTGTCATGTGTAAATGAAATCTCTTGCTTTTCCATGCATCATGACTTTGTATCATTTTACTACATGCAATAGTGACCTAATATTTCTAATGCTGGGGAAAAGGTCTGGATTTTATTATTTACGGTTTTTCTAAGACTATGAAATTCATTTGACTTCATTTTGAGACAAGAAACTTCAACTGCACTGCAGCAAGACAAGTGCTTGTTTGTTTCCGTTTTTGTTGGCGGAAATATTTTTTTCCTATGGCTGACGACCAAACGTTTTCTGTTTTTGTTTCAAAAGTGCAGAATGAGCAGGGAATTTTGTTGTTAATCTAATGGAAGTTATCCTGAGAATCATGATTTTTATGCACTCGTTCAGGTCTTTTGTTTCAAATTTTGGTCGCCCATAGGTAAATTGTAGGAGCCTGTGGTGACCAGGCCCCCATTAGGCAGTAGCCTTGACACTGCCTAGTGTAAAGCACGTAAATACATACCTTGACAACTATAAAAACAGTTTTGATAGTTCAAAAGTTAGACTTTATACAAAAATACTGAGTCGATTTTCCAAACTTTAAAATAAAAAACCTTTCGGTGGTCCATATGCACATGTATATGCAAGTGCTTTTGGCTTTGCCATTTGTTGTGTTTGTGAATGGTTGTTTTTATTTTTCTTGAGAAATAAATGGTGTCTCAAAATCCGTTCAAGTGGTAAATGTAAAAAATGCTTGTTTCTCGAACTCAAGACTCAATTTGTTGTAGTTTGAAGTATTTTTCTGGTTTCATCTCATCACGCAATGCTCATTAGCACTGTGTAATGAGACAAAGTTGTCTGTGTTTCAAGGAGAGAGAATCAAGTCTCGAGGAAGTGGTCAAGATTGTCAACTTTAGATGCAGACACTATCAATATGGTCATTCCGGTGAACTAATTAAAACTAGGTTTAGGTACACTGGCTGTAGGGGTCCATTCTTGAAGTACAGTAAAGCAAATAATATCTCTAGTACAGGAAAAAAGAGATTGGACCTTGAATGTTAGTTGATTCTTTACTACTGTATGCTACTATTTGTGCCCATGAGCTTGATAAATAATAAATTCGAAGATTATCGATTATCAGATTAGTGCACCGTTTGTCGTGAGCTAGAAGTGTGACACATTAATAAAGTTACTGTCTTTTTTAATGGGCCCCTATAAATGTAGCTTTTTATTTGAGGAGCCTGAAGGGCTCCCAAAAATTCTCTTAGCCAGCAGCCTTGCTCTATGGTAAATGCAAATGTTCACTTGCACTCCCTAACCATTGGTTACCGCTAGTTATCGCAGTTCTAAATTTGATTTTGGTTTGAGATAAACGCATTTCAAACTGGCAAAACCAGTGGTTCCATAGCTGACCGTGTCCCTTAAACTAATCTATTAAGGACCAAAATCAGTTTTTTAAAAAATTTATTATTATTTATTCTTTTTAAGTGTGACTTGAAATCATATTCATTATTTTAGCTAATATATGCACCCCTCTTTCTTAGAAAAATGGCCACCTACTGAATAACAACAAGGGTGGCCAATGGACTCTGACAAAGAGTAAGAGAATAAGCCAATTCCTAGAATAAACCCTGTTACTCTTTAGACCAAATAAATAAGTGATAGGTGCTATAACCCTTTAAGCCTCAAGATCAACATGGAAATTCTCCACAGTGGCCTCCATACAATTCTTGAAAAATTGGTTAAGAGAATTTGTTTAAAGATTAAAGCATATTTCATTCAAGTGATCATTTTATTAATTCTCATAACCTTTCTACTTGATTATATACTGATTTTGTTTGAGGAAAATTGATGTTGATCACTCCTGGGACTTAAAGGGATAAATAAATGACGACTGTAACACTTCATGTGGACTGATCTTGTATGGAAGTTGCGATTTATTTTTGATCTTCCAATTTCATGTGCTTGAGTGTTTCCATTTTGCATTCCAGTGTTATTATGAAGAATCAATTATTGATACCATTTTCTGGCTGCTGTTTGGTTGTTTGTTTGTTTGTTTGTTCCTGGTCCAAAACAGGAAGTAGGGAACCGTTACTTCAGTCTGTTCCTTCCTCTTCCTTGTTTGTATTTATTGATGTATTTCACAGTAAATTAAATAACCGTCCCCCCTCTCTAATAATCCTCCCTCTCTGTTAAGTTCCCCCCATCAAACATGCTTCAAATGAAAAGGCCTATTAATATATGATTTATAGTAATACAGGTTTCATTATATTGTCTGTATGAATGCTGTATGATGAACCTTAATTACCATTATTTTAAAAGTGTGTTATTTTACAAACCACAACGAACTCTCAGATCCAAATACAAAGTCAACAAATACCGAAAATAAGCGCCGGGGCTTACATTTTTCAAAGGCCCTTTTTGAGGGGCTTATTTTTGGAGGGGCTATCTGTGGAGGGAAATTTGCGTTTCAAAATCGATTGGGCTAGCCTTATACCTGGAAATAAATTTACCGTTTTTGCTTTGTTTTACTTTGAATTTGAGGGCTATTTTCCAAGTACTAGCCCCTGGGAGGCTTATATTTGGAGGTGCAATTTAACGTAGGGTTTTTTGCGTTACTGGTTTGGGGGGCTTATATTTGGAGGGGCTTATTTTCAGAATTTTATGGTAATCACCTGAGCCATGTTGATGGATTCTCTAGTTTGAAGGGTTCATGTAAAACTTTCGGTATGTAATCAGCTGGTCTGTGGTGTGGAACCACTTTTTCATAAGTGGGTGTCTTAAAAGTTTTCTAATTTTCCACATTTCCCTGACAACACCACCTTTAAACTACTCACTTCAGGCCTCTCACCACCAGGCCCCAAAGGTTATGCTGGCGGCAACAAAACAAATATTATTTATTTACCTAATTATGGTTTTTCATCTTTCCAAAGGTATCCTAACTGTAAAAACTTAAAAGAAGAGCAACCTCAATGTCCTTTGACTGTCAGAAGTGTGGCAAGTGTTTTAACAATACAGGACACTTTAGGGCTCATGAAAGAGTTCACACTGGGGAAAAGCCATATGAATGTAAACAGTGTGGCAAGTGTTTTAGCCAAGCATCAAACCTAAGGAGCCATAAAAGAGTTCACACAGGGGAAAAGCCATATGAATGTAAACAGTGTGGCAAGTGTTTTAGCCAACCAGGAAACCTAAAGAGCCATAAAAGAGTTCACACTGGAGAAAAGCCATATCAATGTAAACAGTGTGGCAAGTGTTTTATTGAAGCAGGACACCTGAGGACTCATGAAAGAGGTCACACTGGGGAAAAGCCTTATGAATGTAAACAGTGTGGCAAGTGTTTTAGCCGAGCAGGAAACCTAAGGAGCCATAAAAGAGTTCACACAGGGGAAAAGCCATATGAATGTAAACAGTGTGGCAAGTGTTTTAGCCAAGCAGTTCACCTAAGGAATCATGAAAGAGTTCACACTGGAGAAAGGCCATATCAATGTAAACAGTGTGGTAAGTGTTTTATTGAAGCAGGACACCTAAGGACTCATGAAAGAGTTCACACTGGGGAAAAGCCTTATGAATGTAAACAGTGTGGCAAGTGTTTTAGTGAAGCAGGAAACGTAAGGAGACATGAAAGAGTTCACACTGGGGAAAAGCTTTTAGAATGTAAACAGTATGGCAAGTGTTTTAGTGTAGCAGGAGACCTAAGGACTCATGAAAGAGTGCACACTGGGGAAAAGCCTTATGAATGTAAACAGTGTGGCAAGTGTTTTAGCCAAGCAAAGTATCTAAGGATTCATGAAAGATTCCACACCGTGGAAAAGTCATATGAATGTAATCAGCGTGGCAAGTGTTTAAGCCAAGCAGGACATCTAAAGGTTCATCAAAGATTACATACAGCGGAAAAACCTTACGAATGTAAACAGTTTGGCAAGTGTTTTAACCAAGCAGGAAACCTGAGGAGTCATGAAAGATTCCACACTCAGGAAGGGTCACGTAAATTTTCCCAGAAAAACAAATGTGTGTCCAAACGTTTGGAATCCTGTAAACGGAAGAGAGCAGGAAGTGAAAACTTTGATGTCAGGGCAACAGGCTGTGCAGAGAACCAGCAGACACAGAGAGAAACCGGAAACAATGGTTTAACAGATGCACGATCGGTCATTATTGAGAAACACAGCTGTTGGATCTGTCAAGAGGAGATAAGTAGTGAGGCTCTTCTCCTTCAACATTATGAAAATCATATGACCCACGTTTGTGACGATTATTCTGAAAGTTAAAAAAACATTTTGGTCCCTTTAAGTTCTTCTCTCTTTGTTTTTTGGTGCTTTGACAATATTTTTAAGTTTTCATGTCTAAAAGGTTTTGTTTAAAGCATGTTGCTTTCATACTTGGAGTTCATTCGATGTATATGATTATCAAGATGGAATGAACGATTAAACAACAGCTTCTCTGTTAATTCTTCGATTAAAGAAAAACTCGATTTAAATCAAAGTCTTAGCACCTATTTGTAGGTGACCACTTATAGAAGACTATGACTTCTCATGATAACATAGGCACGTTAAACGTGCATGAGCTATTTTGAATGCTTCAGTATAACTTTAATGCTTCAGTGTATCCTTACCAAGAGTGATGAATCTACCTTTTTCGTCTTAAATGTAGACTGGGTTTTTGTGCGAAATTGGGTATTGCAGTACGCGAAACGTTCAGCTGCGTCGATCCTCATGCTATATATTCACTTTCCTCTGTCTTTCCCTGTTACATTTGATGCAAGTTAAACAAATTATTTAAGTAAAATAAATATCTACTCACCAAACGTTGATTAGAAGGAAAACTCTAAGGTTTCCTCGGAGTTTCTTAGGCCAAAATGTGACTCATCGAATTCGAAGAAATACTAGGATTTTTATCATTGTGGTAGATGGTTGCATCATCACAATTCACGAGGTTTTCACGTGCGATTCTACTCAGTGACACAATCTTTAACTCCAACAACTTATTTCTTCATGTTTTAAAAGCTATTGCTTCTTAAAGGTATTGGTTACAAAACGAAACAGGTCTTCATATACGTCCAAGTTACTATTAGTATTGTGAAAAGCCAATCTGCGTGAGATGTACAGTCACACAACTGGCAGATGAAAGTGTTGGACTTTGCCCCCTTTCGTGGTTCGTACGTGAGGGAATTTGAGTTATCACGCAGTAATCTAGTAAACAGAATTATAAAAATAAGTCATGCACACAATTTGCACGTGAAGATGTTGGTCTTTGGCCGTTTTACAATTCGTACGTAAAAAAACGCAAATTGTAAACTACAAAATTTTCTCAAACGATTTTAAGAAATCACCTTGGCTTTATTACAACATCTGCAATTAAATTATGTTTCATGCAACGTCAAGATAGCCTAACGTTTATTAACTTCCAAGAAAATTATCAAACTGCCGAAATATATTTCTGCTCCCATCATGTTACTCCACTCAATACAACAGTATCTAATTATTGTGTCAACTAGCTTCTCCCAATTTTATTCCCTAACGCTACTGTTTCTACTTAAGTTACGCATCTTTACTACTGAAATAAAGTACGCAATAACTATAATGCTTAGTATGCAGGAAGGATGTATCATGTTATTCACTTATTATTCTTATTTGTTTTTGTTTTTGCCGGAACGAAAAAGGTCTGTTGAACTTTGTAAGCGAAAGAATAATATTTTTAAAGCCTGTTTACAGGATTAACAATACTTGGTACAGCTGTTGTGAGGTAGGTACCATTAGTTTTGTTTTTCAGTGTTGCTATTTTTAAGATTTTGCTAGCTTTATGATGAACAGTTTGTAGACTTTTATAGACTAAGAAACTTAAAGATTCAATATATTTTCCCATATGGTTAGTTCCCGAGTTTATGTCTAGTATTATCCATTTGAAGTGTTTGTTAAACTTAGATTTGGTTCCTTGAAGTAGGCTTGTTTGGCGAGTACAGCTGACCTTAGGTTTTACCCACCGTCGAGTTCCTGTTTGGTATGTTTTGTCCTTCTGGGCAGTTTCACTGCTAGCATTTAATTGGTTCCTTGCAAGAGACTATAAAGGGGACAGAGAGAGCATCCCCCATATACGCCCTATTCCACCGGTAATTCGTCTCGAGTTATTTTTAGAATCGGGATAAAGTTACCACGCGCGAGGCGTGGTCGTTTCGTGGAGGTTTCGCATAACCAAACGCTGTGCAAAACATGTCGGGCGAGAGGCAATGAAAGCGTAAAAAGGTCGAGAGCATTCCTGAACACTGAAGCGAAATGAGTCGGCGCTCACCTGGGAAAAAGGAATCGCTGGACTCTTTGACAACCCGTGAAATCAGTTTAACTCGAAGTTGTCGTAACCTCAGTGCTTTAATAAAATGAGAAATTTCGCCGGTCTATTGAAACCGGTCGTTTGTACAATTTAGGGAGTTTAAGATCCAACGACGCGGACGACAACTAGAACGTCAAAAAAGCAATAGGTTTAATTAGCAAAACAACAACTTCGCACGTGCAACACACTTTTTTGTTCATTTCTTTCCCGTTTTTGCACGACTACGACGTGAAAATGCCTAATTTCGCGTTTTATGGAGGACTTAAATAAGCAACGACGAAATTTTATTTCTCTTTCTGAGCTTGAATATGGTCCCTTGAAATTCAGCTTTAGGAGGGTTCGCCTACAATTGACAAAGTAAGTGGGTAGGAATAATCGCTATAAAGACTGAAAAAAATAAACAACAAACCAGAAATTGCTTTCTTCAAACTGTAAATTATAAATGATCCTGAGAGAATATTCAGTGTGTTAAAGATTCCCTGCTCTACTGTTAGCTCTATACAAGAGAGGAAGGGCGATTCTTTTTTAATTTCGGTTTCGCTGACACAGCTTTCGCAGAATTCTCGCTGTAGTCGTTTTCGTCGACAAAAGGAATAGCAAAATCGCTCTCCGCGTCTTCCCCCATTTTGTTCTGCGTCATTTCGTGAAGGACGCGTGGCTCTCAGCGTGGGTCATCCACGCGGAACACATTCGCGCTATGTGATTGGCTGTTGTCTAATCCCCCTTGAGATCTGTGGTGTTAAAAATAACTCGAGACGAATTACCTATGGAATAGGGTGTATATGGGGGATGCCCTCTCTGTCCCCTTTATAGTCTCTTGGTTCCTTGGTATTTGTCGGTTGCGGCTGTGTAGGCTTATCTTACTATAGCAAAGCTGTTGTGATATAGGCGATAAGGTATTCAATAGAAACTCTTCCGGTCAGCTAACTCAAAACAAGTCTACAATTTACTTATTTAATTCGCTGTGTAAGCTAGTAGAGTTAGTTGAGTAGTAGAGTTGTTGTCAGAAGCTTTTGAAGAATAAACCGCTGTCTAAAGAGAAAGAACAGAGTCTTGGTCCTCTCGTTAAAAAGCCAAGCGAGCTTCACAAGCCCTCAACACAGCTTTCAAAAAAATCGGCTGCCTTTCAAACTTGTAAAACCACATTTTATAGGCCACACACTTTCAAATTAAAGTCCATATCTAAATATCAATTATTGCTTCACTGGAAGAGCTTTGAAAATATACGATCTTTTATACTCTACCTTGAAGCAGGTGAAACACAACTCATAAACATGTGCGTCAGTAGCGTTAGCGATAGCCGAATTCGGTCAGAAATGTCTTGAAGTAGCATACACACTAAAATATGAACCCTTAAACAGCTGTATCACTGTACACAACGTTTGAATCATGAAGATATTTAAGGTATCAGCCACCCTTCAGGACCGTCCGCGCGCGGATCGCTGTAGCGTTAGTGTTTTTATAAATACCCCTATAAACCATATATTTTTTAAAAGCTTAATAATTCCAGATTATGGATTTGAACTAACAAAAACGATTTACTTAAATGTGTTTCGAAATTGGAACGCTTTGTGTAAAAGTACATGTCTCTATAAATCATGTTCCACTCCCGCCGGAGATAAACGGAAGAAAACAATTAACACCGCATTCGCTTCTCAACACGTTCCACTAAAAAACCGTGTCTCAGATTTTTGACAAGTGCGTTTGTTTTTCTTTTATTAGCAAATGAAGTTGGGGAAGGCAATTAGTCAACACTCCCTGTGGAAAAAAAGCTCTAGCTTTAAAATGAAAAGGAGTATTAAAATTCGCAGACACGGTTTTGTAGAAGAGATATATGGCATCACTCTGGCCAAATTTTAGCCAAATTGATTGAAAGGCTGCCGACTTGGACCTCAAAACGTACGAGTCGATCGGCAAAATTTACGTTCGGAGATAAAATAGAAAATACATTTTTGGCGGCATCCTACCTGGAATGAGATTATAACACCTAACTGTTTATTCTGATTGATATCAGAGAGGGATCAATTTTCTCTAACAATAAGACTTTGACAGGTAACATGTAACGAGAACAAACTTTTTATTGCCATCAACATCTTCAAGTGAACAGTTTACACTGAGTTTAATTCTCCGTTGGAAACCTTCCACTCTTTTACACCACGAGAAGCACGGTTTAATTCTTTCTCGAGCAAACGTTTTGCCTCTCCTTCGATCTTTTTTGTATGATCCGCCCAGGCGTTTTTGTTGATCAGCGCCAGGCCAAGGAAACTAAAAAACTTTGAAGCCGCCGAATGTCCACCACCCATTGCTCGAAGGCCAAGAACTGAGGCCCGGTATTTTTCAAACGCTCTGCTCTTCTCGGAAGAATTAAAAACAGAATTTGTCTTGTGCGACGGACAGCTTTCATTCTCGCACTGGATTCTCCAGCTAGAACCAAGTCCATGCTTAGTCGCTACATTTTCCATGACTTGCACTCTTCCCGGGCAAAATCGACAAGATACAGACTCGTCCAGTTTTTCAAGCAGCTTTTCGCTTGATACGATAGCTCGACCGCTTATTGTTTTCCACGTTCCATCAGCAGATGGGGTCGATGAGCTTAATTGGCTTTCTTCATCTGGCTCTTCAAGCTGGATTTTGGAGCGGCTTGCACTCTCAGCAACTGCAGCGTTTTCGCTTTTCTGAATATCCAACTCCTCGAGTCACTTCTCTTGCTGATAAAATGAGCCTTTGTCGTTCTCTGCCAATTTTGGGGTCCATTCTTTGTCAAACTCGCTCTTCGATTTCTTTTTGCTCTCGGTTTCGATGACGAAAACGGACGCGACCTTTTCTTTTCTTTTTTTTTGGCGGCATTTTCACCGAAGCAAACTCTAAATATCCACGGAGAATACTAAAGGCTATAAACAACGCGAAGACAATTCGCACGTGTTGTGTCGAAGCACGCACTCGGTATCACGTTACTAGTTCACAGGCAAGTTAATTGATATATGACACGGGTATGACAGATCTTGTCAACGATCATATTAAGATAGTTAACGAGAAAAAATCTTTTACCCCCGATATCTTTCGACAGAAATAATATTTTCTTCTGATTTTTTTTAAAAAGAAAGCTCTCAAGCATGAAAACGTTCAAATCTCAAATATGGAAAAATGGCAATTTTAAGGGTGGCTGATACCTTAATATAATGTTTCCAAACACCTGTAGCTGTAATAAAAGACGAAAAAATTGTGAAGAATGAAAATGGCGGTCTAAAAAAGTGCCCTTGTTCGACCTTTAGCAATGTCATGTATAAGTAGATGCCAAGATCTCATTGGTTCCTAAGCATTAACTCATAGTACCTTTAACCTTATTGGCTCTTGCAACAAACATCTGAACATACAAAGATACAAAGATACAAAGCCACAAAGATACATAAGCTCATACCACTGACATATGAGCTACTTTTTTCAAAATAGCTCAATAAATGGAAAGAGGCTTTTTTCTAACAATTTAAAAAAATGCTGTCTTATTTTCATCCATATTCTACAGTCTTGTATTTATGATGTTCTCGTAGCCGTGGTTTCTGCATGATGACTCGGAAGCCTTGGATACGTGTACGACGGTCATCTGAATTGACCGATTGTGCAATATAAAAACATAGGCACGTTAAACGTGCATGAGCTATTTTGAATGCTTCAGTGTAACTTTAATGCTTCAGTGTAACCTTACCAAGAGTGATGAATCTACCTTTTTCGTCCTAAATGTAGAGTAAGACTGGGTTTTTGTGCGGAATTAGGTATTGCTGTACATAAACGAAAACGCGAAACGCTCAGCTGCGTCGATCCTCGTGCTATATATTCACTTTCCTCTGTCTTTCCCTGTTACATTTTGTGCAAGTTAAACAAATTATAAAAGTAAAATAAATATCTACTCACCAACGTTGCTTAGAAGGAAAACTCTAAGGTTTCCTCGGAGTTTCTTAAGCCAAAACGTGACTTATCGAATTCGAGTAATTAAGAAATACCAAGATTCTTTTCATTGTGGTAGATGGTTGCATCATCACAATTCACGAGGTTTTCACGTGCGATTCTACTCAGTGAAACAGTCCTTAACTCCGACAACTTATTACTTCGGCGGAGCGCGAAGTAAAGGTTTCGCGACGCTCAGGAATGTATCAAAG